TTCCCACCCGTCGCCCAGCCTCAGTGACGAAAGGAAAGGGGGGCCAGGGACCACGTCCCGCCCTGGCCTCGTCCTGCCCCAGCCCCCAAGGAAGCGCCTACCTTCCAGAGCCGGTCCAAGATATTAATTAAGATAAATCTACCTCAATTTTGAGATTCTCTTATCATGTAATTTATCAAAATTATGTTAATTATTTCTGTAGGGCAGCAAAATTATTACCTCTTTTGTGTCTGATTTGTATTAATATTCATAATTTAATAATTCAGCATCCTGGCCATCTGGTCCAGGAGCAGGCTCCTCTCCCTCCCTGGGTCCAGCCAAAGCATCCCCACACCCCGACGTCCCTGGGGCCGGCGGCCGTGCCTGCGCCTGCCCACCACCCAGCGCAGTGGACCCTGCCCTGCCCGGCCCAGGCCCCAGGCGCCGGGCTCCCCGCAGGTCCGCGCCCAGGTCTGTGCACAGGCCCCCCACACGCTCACCACCCCCGCTTGGCAGGTGAGCCGAGCTGAATTGACATTTTCCACACTTTGTGAGTTTTACACTGTAATTTGACATAATTAATGCCTACATTACTGCTGATAATTTAGCTAGTTAATTAAACTCGGAGGAGATAATTAAGGAAAGGCTACTGCTTGGATTGCTAATTGTTTTTGTCATTATTTCAGGGGGCCGACAGCTGCCGGCTGAGTCATCCTGTTTTGTCAGCTGATGGGTCATGTGACACGGGGGTCCCTGGGGCTCCCCACTTCTAGGGGAGGGAGGCACAAGCCGACTACCTTGCTGCTGCCTGGAGAACCAGGAAGGGCTGGGGGCTGGTCCAGACCCCCTCCTGCCCTCCCCCCTTCCTCCTCTCTGCAGTGACCCCCCCACCCCCCACCGTGGCCTCTAGGGCTCTCTGAGCTCTGGCCTGGGGTCACCTGGAGTTCAGCCTAAGCAAGCTGGAGGAGGAAGGGACCCCCTGGCCCACATCCAAGCCCAGTGGGTGAAGTGGCCCCTGGTAACACCTGGTCTCCTGAGTGGTCAGATATGAGGTGGAACTTCCTGGGCCTGCTGGAAGCTGGAATGACAAGGAGATTGTGGGAGCAGATGAGGGAGGGAGTAGGGGATTGAGGGGGACCATGCTCCCTAAGATCTCTGATGTCCATGGAGCAGGAATTGGTTTGGAGAAGTTCTCCAAGCTGTCTCCCATTACCAGCCCTCCCAAGGCCCCATGGTGCCCACCCACCTGAGGGCATCAGACCCGGGGAGCTGCTGGGTGCCCCCCCCCCACACACACACACACCTTGCCCAATAAAGAAGCGGCCAGGGCCCGGGCCTCTGGACGCTGGGGCTGCCCTGCCGGCCACGCCCTGGGACCAGTGGTCAGGCACCTTCACTAGCGAGGCCCACAGCGTGCACACGGCCACACCGTTCTCACCGGCGTCCCCACTGTCCTGAGGAGGACGCCAGGACTCTGTTCAAGGCCACACAACAGACTGAGGCAGGCCCTGTGGGAGGACCGGGGGTGGGAGGGCCACACTGTCCCGGACGGGGCTCGTCTCCGAGGGGCTCGGTCTGGCTGGGGGCGCTGACGGATGAGAACAGGCTGCACCACGTACATCAGTGTCCACCAGGCGCTCAACGTGGCCATCAGAGCATTCGGGCTGGAGAAGCTCAAACTGTCCTGGTCTGTCCGCCCTCAGGTCAGGACGTCATGTGCGAGAAGGTTCTCAATCGGCTCATTCAGGGCTCGGTGGCATCATCAGGACATCAGCCCAGAGCCAGGAGCCTTCCTGTTTCTGCCAGTCTCGCTGGGGGGTCCTATTTTCCCTCATGGTCCCACGCTGGCTGCTGTGGCACCGTGAGTCCCAGGTCCGCCCCTGGCTCGCAGCAGAATGGGGTGGTGTCGTGCACGTGCCCACATCACTGTTCTGATGGGTTTGCAGGGAGACCTGGACAGCCAAGGTTCCCGCCTGCTGGGCCCCCCTCCCCCCTTCACCACCGGCAGGACCTTCAGCTTGGACCATGAGGACCACCCCCGCCCCCGGCAGAGCCCCCCTCGTGGAGCCCAGCTTCAGACCCAGGTGCTCCCTGCAAAGCCCCATGTCCTTGCTCTCGCTCAGACCAGCCCCCTCCGCCCCAGCTCCCTCCCTCGCGGGTCTCACTGAAGGTCAGAAGTGCTCAACACAGGCTGCTGCCCTGAGCGCCATCCTGCAGATGCGCGCTGAGACCCAGGCGATGGGCCCCTCAGCAAGTCCCCGGCTCTGCCCCTGGTCCTGCCACCCCTGCAGTCAGAGCCCCCCTCCCCCGTCGTCGTCAGGGCGCTTCACCTACAAATATCAGAAAACCCAGGAAAAGTACAAACAGAAAGGGCATTATCGCCCCCTAGGCAGTGGGCCCCCAAACTTTATGTCCTCCCAGAACAGTCGCGCTGTGACCTTATTTGGAAATGGGGTCTCTGTCCTTGGGGTGCCTCCTGGACCATGTGCCTGCCCTTATCAGAGGGGCGTCGGGACACTGCCCAGGAGGAGCTGGGCGAGAGGGAGGCAGAGGGCAGAGTGATGCCCCCAGGGCCGGGCGCCCAGGGGGCGGGAAGGACCTCCCAGCAGCTCCCAGGGAGAAGGTGGCCCTGCCACAGACCTTGGTCTCGGGCCCATCGCCGGCACCCACAGCCTCGTGTGGGCAGCAGCTCCCCCGTTGGGCAGCTCCACGGTTTGCGACTCAGACCCATCGTCATCAGCATCTGGCTGACAGGGAGCCCCTGTCCTAACTCAAAGCGACAGCAGGAACCGGCTCCCGGGCCACCCAGTCGCCCAGCCGCCCCACACCTGTCAGCAGGGTCAAACGGGCACCTGTTTGCCCAGCCCTGGGGGTTTCCTGTGCCATGGCCACCTCCGCTCTGGCCCCGTGGCCACCTCTGCTGTCCCGCACCCTCACTGGCCCTTCGGCGTGGCCGTCACTGCAGCCGGTCCCTGCCTTTCCCTCCATGGACACCCAGGCACTGACCTGCTCCCTTCCTCCCGGAGGCTGGGCCCTGCCCCCGCCACCCTGCCCCCCCGAGGGCAGGCCCCCCGCCAGCCAGCCCTCCCTGGAAAGTGCCCCCTTGTAAACAGACAGGAACAGAGGCGGCTGCGTGCAGACGTACAGGTGCTAAGTCGCTGGTTGAGTTTATGCAGACTGGGGAGGCAGACAGCAGCCTTCAGCTTTTTAATTTAAGAAAAGAGGAATATGATAGAATTTCAATTTGTGAGACGAGACGTTCCTGATACCGTGGTTTCGCTGGGTTACATCTGACCGCACCGGGAGTGTGGGTGGGCGGCAGGCCGAGGGCACAGGTTTGCTCTGCCACAGTGCGCTGGCCAAGTCCATGCAGGCCGGACCCCGAGCGGGACGCAGGCCCGGAGCCGACGACCAGCTGGGCTGGCTGACAGAGGCTCTCGGGACATGGGCAAGGCCTCTGCTGGGGGTCCCCGGGGTGAGAGGCCCAGAGCAGGGGCCCAGGAATCCAGAGCCTGGGGGAGGGAGGGGCCAGGCTGCAAGAAGTAGAGTCTGTGGCCCCTGGAGCCTGCTGCGCCCATCTCCCATCTGGGGCGTGGGCCCCTGGGCCTCCTGGCAAGTTTTGGGGGGTCTCCAGGGTGGGTGGGACCTGGGCTGACTCCTCCAGGTTGGGGGTGGGGCAGCAGTGAAGCCAGGCCCCCCTACACCCCAGGGGCCACGGGCCCTGGGCCGTGCCCACTAGTAGGGCTCCTACTAAGCGTCAGCTGTGCCCACACCCGGGAGGCCACTGCACTTCCAGGGAGCACCCTGCGGACACCTGAGGGGTCCCCAGCAGAACTGCCCCCGTGCCCACAGCTGAACAGACTGGACAAGACACCTTCTGTGGAACCCTTCTGTGTCCGCCTGAAGACCCCGTGTGCACCCCAGACCACCTGGTCCCGGCCACATCTGCTGTGGGTGGTTGAAGGGTCTCTCTGGGCCTGTTTCCTGATCAGTAAAACGGAGCCGCTCTGGCTCCCAGACCCCACCCCGCTGGTGGCCCTCTGCCTCCCCCTGGTGGTGAAGAGGCCGAGCTGTGTGGGAGGGGCAGGTCCCAGCTAGAGGGTCAGGCCGGCCCATCGCGGGCCCCAGCCCAGGCCACACTTGTCAGACCCCAGGGCCTCTGCTCAGAACAGCCCGGGCACCCGCTGGGGTCCCTGCACGGCCCAGGTCATCTCCCCCACCCCGGCCTCCCGCCCCTCCAGGGGCCCTGCTGTGACAGAGAGCAAGCAGGTCTCCTTACCATCCCCGCGGGGCCAGACACACCCACGTGACCCTAGGACCCCACCGCTACCAAAGGCCCAGAGAGGGCAGTGCCCTGGCGCTGAACCGTCCCTGCGCCCGCAGCCCCTCCCGCCCTGCCACACCCTGACCGCAAGTCCAAGAAGTCCCGCGGAGACCCTCCGTGGCCCAACAAAGTCACCAGGGCCGGCAGCCCTGTTCCATGGGTGACCCTGCCTGCCCCCTGGTGGGGGACACTGGTGCTCGGCCACTGCGAGGGCCCCTGGGATCCACCACCACAGGCGCCCACAGCAGCTGGAAGACACGGCCACCACCCGGCCGGCACACGTGTGGGCACAGAGGCCCGAAGGGCAGTGCCGTCCTGGGTCACTGCATGGGGCAGCTGGGCGAGGACGCGGTCTGCGCTGTGAGGGCCTGTGCTGCCCTCGGTCCTCCGCAGCCCACTGTGTCCTCTCGGCCAGGAGTTGGGAAGGTGAGCCCACTCCCTCGCCGAGGCCACCGGGGCCCCGAGCTCCAGCTGCAGCCGCGTGGGCAGCACCTGCGTGCGGTTTGCACAGACCCGCTGACTGCAGCTGCCGAGGCTCCAGGCCGGAGCCGCTCAAAGGCCTGTCTCCGACGTGGGCCAGGCCCGAGCAGCTGGCACAGCCCGGCCACAGCACGTGCTGCAGACCTGGACCTCGGCCAACAGCCCAGGAGTGCGGTGGATGGGAGATGGAGCCCGGGTCATGTGCCAGGTCCTTTATTGAGGCCACTTGGACCACACAGAGGGTGGTCAGGTCCACCCCACAGTGCCCGCCCTGCCCGGCCCACAGGTCAGGCCAGCAGCCAGCCAGGCGGCTCACTCAGGGGTCCTGCTTCTGCCCTTCAGGGACCAGATCTTGGACAAGGACTTCTTGGACTTGGGCTTCTTCCTCTGGAGGTCTAAAGGAGGGGACACAGGACGCTGGCCCACCTCCCGCCCCTGCCCCACCGGGTGTCCTCCCTTCCGCCATCAGAGCCCTCCCTCCCTGGGCCCTCAGCCTGCGGCAGCCAGGCCCCAGCAGAAGCCCAGAGCCTCCGCCCTCCCGGGGACCCACCTGGGCACCTGCCTTTGGAGCACCCACCTGGACTGGGGCCCCTCCCAAACTCTCCTCACCCTGACCAGGTGGTCACCAGCTGCTTCTCAGACCCCTCAGCTGACGGGGAGCTCACCCTTAGGGTGAGCCTGCCACAGAGCGCCCACTCCCCTGGGAGGTCCCCCCTGAGCAAAGCCCTCCCCTCCCATTACCCAGCTTCCGGATCATGGTCTCCAGCACCTCGTCCTCCTCTTGTTCTCTGAAACGGGACAGGTGGTGCGGGCAGCATGCTGGGGGGCTCGGGTCCCGCTTAGCCTCGCACCTGAGCCCTGAGCCCACCTGACACCGAGGTCACCAGCCAGCATGCACCCCTTGGGACCACCCTCTTCCTCCCTGGGCAGGTCCCTGCGGACCTTGGCCACCGACACTACGTGGCCAGAGCAGGTCCCTTGTCTAGACATGGGGACGGGACAGCCCTAGGGGAGGTCACCGGACTGGTGGCTAGTGCAGCACCAGGAGACACGTGGTTCCGCATTTAGAGCAGAAGTAAATGTCAAATTCCGTCCCGCCACCGCGCAGGCCACCCTGCAAGTGCTGGGCCACCTGTGCCCCGTGGCCACCGCCGTGGACAGCAGGGCACAGAACATTTCCTTCAGTGCAGAAAGCTCTGTGGCGCGTGCTGACCCTGCGGTCAGGGAGCAGGCAGTGCCGGGGCTCAGTGCGGGGGTGGCGGTGGGGGGACACACACGTATGACAGGCTGCTGGGCACAGCCTGCCTTCGGGCCCCCCCGGGAAATTCTCAAAGTGGGTCTCACTGATCAGGTCCAGATGTGCTGAGCTCGAAGTAACCAGCCCTGGCCTACCTGGGAGGGGCCTGTGTCTGGACCTGGCCTGAGCCCCGCCCTCACCTGGCCCCGCCCTCACCTGGGCCCGCCCCCACCTGGGCCCGCCCTCACCTGAGCCTGTCCTCCTCCAGGAAGTCCACGATGCTGCTCCGGTCATTGACAGTGCTCACGTACTGAGTCAAGAGGTCCTGCTCTCGCTGCTGGTCCTGCGGGGACTTCAGCCGATCTGTGGGGACAGCTGCCATCATCGGGAGGCCTGCTGTCTCCCTCAGGACACAGTGTCCCCACGCCTCAGGCGTCACGCTCCTCCATTGGAACAGCGGTGAGTTGCTGGGGGCACCTAGGCGGAGGGTCGCCCCAAGCTGGGCTCACGGCCACACAGACTGAAGGAAGGGGCACCAGAGATGGGGTGGCCCCCACTGGGTGCCCTCACCCATCCCCACAAACCTGCCCACTGTGGAGAGGAGCCCAGAACAGAGCCCTGGCTCAGCCCCCCGACACTGCAGAGCTCACTCCCTGCACCTACCTGCACTCACCCACTTAACCCTCCCACAGCCGGAGCAGCTGGGACCAGCGCTTTGGCCGCAGGCAGATAAAACCCTGGCAGAGGGTGAGTGGCTTGGCCAGAGCACAGCCCAGCAGTGGAGGGGCTGAGCCTCGACCACGGGCTCGAGATGTGTGCCCTAAACAGGACCAGCTGGCCTCTCCCATGGGTGCCCACCCCAGGCAGCCAGCAGGAAGAAGACCTGGAAGCCACCTGCTGGGCTGTGCACCCACTGGCCTGGGCCCTGGCGGGGGCAGGTGGGACGCACCCGGCGTGGACATCAGCTGGCTCAGCTTCCCCAAGATGTCCAGCTGCTGCTCCTCCAGGTGCTGGTCCCTGACCCTGTGAGGGGACAGATGTGAGGTGGCGCTGCCCACACGAGGAGGGTCCTTGCAGGGGCCGCAGGCGCTCACTTGTACATCAGCTCCGACTCCAGCCGCAGCAGCAGCTGCTTCTCATGGATGAGCCGGAACCAGTCCACCATGAGCGCGTCCTCCGAGGCATCTGCAGAGAGGGGCTGGGCTGGGCGCAGGCTGGCAGGGCCCGAGGGTGGCCCAGGTCAGGGTGGCCCCGTGGTCAGGCTGGCTGCAGCCAGGGCAGGACAGGGCAGGGGCTGGCCACTCAGGGGTGTGGGGCCTTTGGTGGGGCAGGTGTGGCTCACCCCCCTCGGCCGCCCGCAGACGCTTCTCCAGATCCACGCCCCTGAGCTCCAGGGCGTCCAGCTGCCTCTCGATTTGCTGCAACTGCTTCTGGACCTCCTCCTGGGGCAGGTAGTCGGGGTGCAGCTGCGCAGAAGGGGTGAGGGGTAACCCATGCCCCCTGGGGCTGAGCTCCCAGCGGTGCCCACCCCTGGCCCACTCACCCTGACAGGGGAGGTCACGGCCTTGCCAGGTGGAACAGGAACGTTGGCCGGGCCCAAGGGCCTCCCTGGGGAAGGGGCAGGATGAGTGTCCTGGACGGGGTCTGATCCACCCAGCTCTGCCCCATGTCCCTGCATCTCCCGAGCTCACTGCTCATCGAAGCAGGCCCTGCCCGTCCTCCCTCCCTGCTGTCCCACCTGAAACCTGCACAGCTCGGCCCCTGCAGGTGCCTTCCCTCCCTTCAAGGTCCAGTGAGCTCCTATGCATCCTTTAAGCCCCCCTGGGCACCTCCTCCTCAGGGGCACCCCCTTTCTCTGCACCCCAACAGAAATGGGCGGCGCTCCAGGCTGACCTGGTTTGTCCTGAGGGGGCTTCTCCTCCTTCCAGCTCCGGGCTGGGGCTTCCTGCTGCAAGGGTCTGGGCTGGAGCCAGTCGCCAGAAACGTCCAAGCTCTGAGGGACGGCCAGCTTCTTGCGGCGGGCCGGCGAGGGGGCCGGCGAGGGGGCCGGGGAAGGGGACCCCACTGCTGTAGGCAAGAAACAGACCACGAGGCAGGCCAGGTCACCTCCTCACTGCTTCCCTGAGCTCATGTGCTGCCCAGCTGGCCATGTCTGCCTGGCGAGGGCGGGACCCTCGGCACAGCCCATGAGCTGACTACCCCATCAGGGCCACACATGAAGTGTGCACATGCACACCCACGCGTACACCCACACACAATGCGCACGCACACCCATGCGCGCACACACACACAATGCGCACACATGCCCATACACACATGCACACCCACGCGCACACCCATGCAGACACGCACACACAATGCGCACGCACACCCACGCACACACACAATGCACACACGCACGCACACATGCACACCCACGCGCACACCCATGCAGACACGCACACACAATGCGCACACATACCCATGCGCACACACACAATGCGCACACGCCCATGCACACATGCACACCCACGCGTACACTCATGCACAGACACCCACACACAATGCGCACGCACACCCATGCGCACACACACAATGCGCACACGCCCATGCACACATGCACACCCACGCACACATGCACGCGCCTGCCCAGGACTGCCAGCTCCTCTGGCTCCCAGGGCGTGTCCCTCTCCCCTCCCCCTAGAAGGGTGGCCCCACAGGTCCCAGCCCCTGGACAGCTGCCCCCAGAGATGACCACCGAGGCCCATGCTCCCTGCCTGGCATGGGTAAGGGAGAAGGTCATCGGGACCCTGGTTTCCTGCTGGGAATTACCTGGGAGGCTGGACTGGTGGCCGGCCGGGCCTGGGGTCCTGTCAGGCCGCACAGGCGTCATGGTGATGCAGACACCCCCCTTGGAGTTCCCAGGGGCCTTCTGGGGTGCACCCCCTGCCCTCGGCTCCCCCGGCTCCCGTGGCTCCATCAGCTTCGTGGCTCTGGACGGAAGGCAGGAAGTCAGCAGAGAAAGGGGTGGGTGGCCCCCACACCCACAGAGAAGCCTGAGGTCACACACCAGCCAAAGGAAAGCAGGGCACGTGGTCTGCCCGGGGCTGATGGACCTGCCACCTGGGACCCGCCCCGAGCACAGGGGCGTGTTCATGGGGCACCCCTTCCACAGGGTCAGCACGTGCTTGGGGTCATGGTCGCTCTGTGCAGCGACCAGGGTGGACTCTAGCGCCAGCCTGACCCTCGCCTGTGGCGGGTCCGTGGAAGGTGCCTCTTGTCCTAACAGAGTGGTCTGTGGGAGCTGCCCCTCCCCGCTGCCCCCCTGCTTCCCCTCCCTGCTTCCCCCCTGCTTCCCCTCCCTGCTGTCCCCCCACTGACCCCCCTGCTGCCCCTCCCCTCCAGGGCCAGGCCCAAGCACGTTCTTGCCCCTCGGCCACCAAGGCTGTTCACACACATGGGGATTCCGGGACCCAGCTGGACCCCCAGTGGAACGTGCCCTGCGCCCAGGGGGTGGGTTCCTGCACCCGGGGAACTGAAGCAGCCGCCCGCTCAGAGCGATGTGTGATGTCCCCACACCCCGCTGCGGGGAGCTGCCTCCCTGGCACTTGTGGAACACGACCGTGTGCCGGCCTATCAGCCCCGGACACAGGCTCGGCCATGAGCACGGACCTGTCGGCCCCGGACCCAGGCTCGGCCCATGAGCATGGACCTGTCGGCCCCGGACCCAGGCTCGGCCCATGAGCACGGACCTGTCGGCCCCGGACCCGACACTGTCGGCCCCGGACACAGGCTCGGCCCATGAGCATGGACCTGTCGGGCCCCGGACCCAGGCTCGGCCCATGAGCACGGACCTGTCGGCCCCGGACCCAGGCTCGGCCCATGAGCACGGACCTGTCGGCCCCGGACCCAGGCTCGGCCCATGAGCACGGACCTGTCGGCCCCGGACCCAGGCTCGGCCCATGAGCACGGACCTGTCGGCCCCGGACCCAGGCTCGGCCCATGAGCACGGACCCACAGGTGCAGGTCCCACCCGCCCCGCACCTCTCCGCTGGGCTCTTCTTCTCCACGGGCTTCAGGCGGCCCCTCCATCCTGCTGGCCCATCCTCCTGGCCTTCCTGGGGGTTGGCACTGGGGCCTGGGTGGGGGGCAGGGAGACTGGTCACATTGGCGGGGGCGTTCCGGCTAAGGGGGTAGTCCACTGGGAACGGCTGCCCCTCAGGTGCCCCCACCCTCAGGGTCAGGGGCACTGGCCGGGAGGCAGGCACTGGACTTCCAGCCCCGCCTCCGGCGCTGTGTGTGCCTGGAGGGGTCGCACCGCCTCTCTGGGCCTCCACTTCCCTGCTGCCACAGACGAGGGTGCGTCCATGGGCCACCTCCCTGCCACGCAAGGGCTCTCACCCCTGGCCTGCGGGGCCTCTGGCTGCAGCCGGGGGGCAGCACCTGCCCTGCTGGGCCCGGAGGACACCGTGGAGCTCTTCCTGCCCGCCTGGGGCGGCGTGGGTGCCCTGGCGGTGGTGCCCACACTCGGGGGTGCTGGCAGCTCAGGCCTGGGAGGGGGGCTAAGGGCCTGGGGAGACGCCAACTGTGCCAGCTTGGCGGATGGACTTGCCGGCGGCCTGTCCGCTGGGGAGAGGCGGTTCGAAGCAGGGGAAGGAGCTGGGGAGGGCCTGTGGGTGCGAGAGCGGGCATGAGGCGCAGGTGACTCCAGGAGCCCCGCCCGCTGGGCCCCAGCAGAAGCCTCAGCCTCCCTTAGCGGCTGGTTCCCAGCGCCCAACCCCCTGAGGGAGATAGACAGACCCTCTGAGGGATGAGGGGCAGCCCAGGGACACCCACTGTGGCACTGGCCTGCCAGTAACTGACCTCATTCTGTTTACACTGGTGTGGGATGAGATTAAAACACCCCCGAAACACACCAGGTACGGGGTGCAGGGAGGGGCCACACCCAGTCCCTCCCTCCTCCGTCCACGCGGAGCCTGCGCAGTGGGCACAGCTCGGCCAGGTGCGGAGTCTCCTTACTCGCCAGGTGAGTAGTGAGGTGAATGGTGTCCCCCAAAATTCATGTCCACCCAGCAGCTCAGAGTGTGACCTTATTTGGAAATAGGCTCTTTGCCAGTGTGATCAAGTTAGGGTGAGGTCATCCTGAATTAAGGTGGGCCCTAAGTCCAATGACAAGTGACCTTGAAAGAGACAGAAAAACAGACAGACAGGGCAGACAGGCAGGTGGTGACAGGCAGAGGGAGGGTGCAGCTCAAGCCAAGGGCCCCGGGCCCAGGAGCTGGACAAGGCAGGAAGGACCCTCCCTGGAGCCTGGGCGGGGTGGGGACCCGGGAGCGGTGGCCCCAGAGTGTGAGCACAGGGGCGTGGGCCGGTCAGCCCCCCTCTGCGCACTTGGCCCCGGCAGCCCCAGGACACTGGCACAGAGACCCTGCCCCCCGAGATGGCGTCTGCTCCGTGCCCAGTGGCAGAAGGTATGGGCAGGGCTGGGACACGGGTGGGGTGGCTCAGAGCCCCGTGAGGTCACAGGTGACGCTGGGCCACACCAGCCTCTGTGCTCACGTTAGACGGGTGACTGAGCACGTGCCACGTGGGGAGCCCGGGTGGCAGTGCTGCTGTACCTCCGGAGCGCGTGGTGTCTTCACAGTGGTCACCGTGTCCCTCTCCCGCTGCCCACCAAGCACTCTGCTACTCTGTCTCATTCTCCCCATTTCCCAGAGGAGGAAACTGAGGCATGACCAGGCAGGGCAGAGCCCCAGCCATCCCAACCCTCTGGCTTCTGGGGACTTCAGCGGCAGACAGGGGCACCCCAGCCCCCCCACGCACCTGCCAGGCTCCAGAGTGCCAGCACCCCCGAGCCCCGGCAGGGCCTTCCGGAGGCAGCTCAGCGCTTGTTCCCTGCGGTCGGCCCCAGAGGGCGCACTGGCTGCAGCAGGGGCCCTGCCGGCGGGCGCGGCGCTGGGGGCGCTGGGGGCTCCGGGCGCCTGCAGGAACCTCTCCCGGGCCTGCTGCGTCCTGGAGGCTGAAGGAGTCCAGGCTGGGGCTTCCACTGGGCCTGGAGACACCGGGCTGGAGCTGAGCTTGGTCAGGGGGACTGGCATTCGGGGGGCTTCCCGGCCTTGTTGTGTAGCCAGGCGAGGGCCCAGGGCACTCGGGGTCCTAGCAGGACAGGGGCTGACTGCCACCGTGTCCTGTGCCGGCGATGACCACCCAGTTGGAGAGCTGTTGGTCACACGCATGCTGGTTTCGCCACCCACAGGCCCCACTGGGACCCTGGGCCTGGCGGAGCTCCCCAGGGGGCCATGGGAGGAGGTGGTGGCCGGAGGGCGAGCTGCGGCAGGAACGGAGCCTTTGACCACTGAGTTGGCCCCCAGGAGCTCCCGGGCTGCAGGCCTGGCCTCTGGCCCTGTCTCTCTCCACCCAGGCGCCTCCTGGGCCGTCTGTGGGGTGCTCGGGCGCTTGGAGTCCACAGGGACGGCCCCCGGCTGTCTGGGGCCCAGGCCCGGCAACACGGGGCTGGCAGAGGTGTCTGTGGGGTGGTGGCCTGGCTCCGCCGTGGCCCTGCAGGCGCCCGAGCGCAGCGTGCCGGAGACCTGCTTACACCTGGGGGAGGGACGGGCCGCGCTCAGGTGCTGTGTCGGCTCACGCGACAAGCACCTCACGGCCGTGACCCTATCTGAGCCACAGACCAGCAAGGACGGGTTGGGGTGCAGACACCCCAGGACACTGTGCCTCTCAGCACCCACACAGGCCCGCACAGGCTCACCTGAAGCAGCCCCGATGGTACAGCTTCCCGTCGGCCAGGTGTCGCTGCACCAGGTGCACGTGCTGGCCACAGACCCCACAGGTGCTGCTGACCGAGCCGCCCACCGCGCCCGGGCCCTGGGAGGGACAGTGTGGGTCAGAGTGCCCACCCCGGGCCAGCCCCCCTCCCGACCGCTGCCCCCCCTGGCAAGAATACCCCACTTCACAGACCGGAGACCTGAGACCACAGAGGAGCAGCCAGGGCTCATGCCCAGACCAGCTGGGCGCCATGTTCAGGGTCTCCAGTCTGGCCCAAGGGGATGGGGCTAGAGCCTGACTTTGGGAGTTTCGAGGGGCCAGGACCCCCAAGTTCCCACCCCAAGGCACAGGAATCCAAGCCACATCCCAGCCCCTGTGGCCTCAGCCCCCTGGGGTCCAGGGACAGCAGGGGGCGCCCAAGCACATGTTATCGTCCTTCAGGCCCCACCTCTGAAAAGTGAGGACACAGCTCGCTTTGCAGGGCTGGCCTAGTAAGAAGGCACCCCGCTTTCTTTTCTGGACCCACGGGAGAGGGAACCGCAAAGTCAAGAAACCCACTTGGAGCTCAGAAAGGTCTGGGTTCAAGGGTCAAGCTCAGCTCAGCCTGCATGACCCCCTGGCCTCAGTTTACCTGTCTGCACAAGGGGATGGTGTCCCGACCGTGCAGGGCTGCAGGAGCTCGGGGCCAGTCCCCGTGGGCTCCTGATAAACATCAGCCGAGGCTGTGCCAGGACCAAGGACCCCACCCCACCCGGGCACTGGGGGTCAGTGGCCATGCTCTGTCCAGCCCCACTCGGCGAGAGGAAGTGGGGAACCCAGGAACTGGAGGAAGGGCAGGGCTGGGCACTCACAGCCTTCAGCAGAGGGACATCTGCACCCCCAGCCTTCCGCTGGACAATGGCATTTGTGCTGACCGGAGACAGTGGCTGCCCCGGGGCTGGGGTGGGTGAAGGCCTGGCCGGCTGGGGTGAGGCCTTCTTTCCGGATGGCTCCTCATCAGAATCGGAGGGGGGCCTCTTTATGCCGCCCAGGCCCCCAACTGGCATAAGACACACAGGGTCAGGGGGCTGGGCCCTGCGCCCACCCTGGGTTTCAAAGTGTCTTGGCCACCCCTGCGTAAGTCCCCTGGAGGTGAGGTGCCCAGCTGGGGGCCTAGAATGGGGGTTGGGGGGCAGCTCCTGCTGACAGGGACCTGCAGGGAGGGGCAGCCCAGCAAGCAGCTAAGGCTAACCCCAGTTGGGACCTGGCCTCACCCACACCCTCCCTCCCTCCCCCCGAGACCCTGATCTGGGGTCAGGAAGAGGGACTTTTCTGTTTCCCCGCCAGTGGGAGCGAGCGGAGGGCTGGCCCCGCGCCCGGAGTGATTCCGGGGATTTCTAGGCTGGGTGAAGGATGTGGGGGAGGGCACACGAGCACAGCGCCGGCTGGAGCCGCCTGGGCTTGCCTCTCCCTGCCCGCCAGGCCCGAGGCCCCGCCACCAGGGCCGAATGTCAGGACCAAGCGAGGGGACACGGGGACCACGGGGACCGGGCCTGGAAGCCCTCAGGGGTCCGACGGCAGGGAAACCAAGGCTCGGGGGGGGGGGGGGTCTGTTAGGTGGACTGAGGGGTGGGGGGTGTGGGAGGACGGGTCCCCAGCCCCCGGGGCAGAGCTGAGTGCCGGCCGGCGGGCACAGCGGGCACTCACTGGGGGAGCGCCCGTGGAAATAGTTGTAGTACTGGGACACGTAGGTCAGGACGCTCAGCCGGTCCGGCACCTTCAGAGCCACCATGTCCTCGGCGTCCAGCAGAGCCGGGATCCCCAGCTGCTCCTCGGCCACGCGGAAGGCCTTGGGGAGGAGGTGACTGGCTGCGAGTGGGCTGCGAGACCCCCTCTCCGCCAGCAGGCGCCAGCTCCCCAGGAGGGGCCACAGGCAAGAACCCAGGAGCCCAGGAAAGTCTGGTTCAAGGCTCCAGCCCAACCTGTGCCCTCCCTGGGCCTCAGTGCACCCACATACACAACGGAGACGTGCCCCAAGCAGGACTGAGGAGCTGGGGCTGCTCCCCTGGCTCCTGATGAACGCCCGCAGGCCGGGTCAGCACCGGGAGCACGGGCATGCGGCCCACAGGGAACGGAGCCTGCTTTGAGCAGTGAGGAGGGCTGGCTGGGCAGGCTCCCGGGGACACAGGGCAGCCCCAGCCCGGCCAGAAGCAGTGTGCACAGGACCAGGCGGCCAGGTCTGAGCGGGGGCCGGGCGGTGGTTCCCCAGGTGAGGAGCAGCAAGCAATGGCCCCCCCAGAACCCCCCCAGGGGCCCTGCCTTCCCAGAGCCACCTCTGGGCCGGCTCCGCCTTGGACGGGAAGGAGGACCCAGGCACTGCCCTCCCAGGTGGGCCTAGCTACCAAGCAGAGGCTATTTCTGGGGAGCTGGAGTCGCCAGCTCGGGGAGCTGCAGTGCTAGGCAGGGACTGGCGGGGGCCGGGCCGGGACTCACCAGCTCGTTGTTCTTGTAGACGTCTTCCTTCCTGAGAGCACTGAAGTCTCTGGGAGATAAAAACAGAGTGCTGAGCCGCTGAGACCCGGGAAGGGGCTGGACGCCTTGGAGACCGAGGCGTGTGTGCGGGTTTCCTGCGAAGGAAGGGGGTCGCAGCCTCCGGTGACCCAGCACTGATGCATCACGCTGAGGGCACAACTCGGAGGGCTGCCTCCAACCTCCACGCTCCTGGGCCGGCATGTCCCGGGTGGGGACACGGAGGGACACAGGGGGACATGGGAGGCTCTCAGGGCAGGGGCAGCGAGGCGCATCATTCACGGAGCACCCCACACCTCCCATGATCCCCATTCAGTCAATGCCTGCCTCTCACGGATGGGGAAACTGAGGCACTGAGGGCCTCTGTGACCTGCACGAGGTCACCCAGCAGGGAAGACCAAAGCCAGGCCATGGCCCAGCACCCAGGCCTTTGAGATCCCACCATTCAGGGCATGGCATTAAGTGCCCACCAGGTGTCCAGCCTCTTCCCAAGGGGGCAGGCGCTCATCCTCAGGGCTGAGAGTATCAGAGGCCCTGCCGCCACACACCTGACCGCAGGGTGCGGAGGTCCCGGTCGCAGGGTCCCTCCGCTGCCCCAGGCTGCCAGGGCCCACACACACCCTGCAGGGCACCCAGCCCCGAAGGCCCAGGATGCTCTGGGCAGAAAACAGCCAGACCTGCAGGCAGCTCTGGGAGGGCCGGCTGAATACACAGCTGTCTGGCTGTCTGTCCCTGTTGCTGTCTGTGGGGCCTGAACAGCATCCTCAAAGTTTCGGCGTGAACTGGACTGTTCCGGAAGCCTCCGGCAAGAGAGAGAGCTCGTCTGGCTGCTCTGTTGAGCCCTGGCGAACCCCCTCTCCTCCCGGGGCCCCAGTGTCCCCATGTGACAGGACAACCCAAGCTGCTGCTGGTGAATCCGAGAGCCCGGCTGAGGCGGGGCAGGTCTCAAACGGGGAGGCAGCTGAGACCCTTCGGCCAGGGGCCCTGCGCCCCATCACAGCCCTGCACGGCCTATTGCACAGAGAAGGAAACTGAGGCCGGGCCACATGGGGGGAGTGGGAGAGACGGGTTTCCTTTGCCCACCTCCCCCCAGAGGCCCTGCTGTTCATCAACCTGCCCGGATCTTCCGCAAACCTCCCCATTTCCGCTCAGACCACCTCCCAGGTAACGCGTTCCAGATGCTAAGACCACCCCACAGGCACAGAGGGTGCTTTTGTGTGAATGACCAGACGGTGGACAGATCTGTCTCTGGGTGGACCGGTGACCGGAAGGAGCACAGCACACACACCCACCGTCCACCCTGCTTCATCCCAACAATGTCCACGGCACGAGGAGCGTGGTCTCCGTCCACACCCAGGGGCTCTCGGCCACTGTCCTCCGAGTGTGGGTCTGGGAGCCCCGCCTGTCCCCACCGCCCCTTGAACGCTCAGCCTCTCCTGCAGACCTGCCCTGGGTCACTGAGTGACCCTCAGGAGATGCCCTGGTGGCCGGAGGGCAGGAAAACAAGTTCTGTTTTGTCTCCAAACAAGGGAGAGGAGGCCCTGCATCAGCACAGCCCCCGGGCTGCGGCCTGTGGATTCGGGGTGGCCAGCTACCCTGTGGGCCCCTCCTCCCCCAGACCCAGGGTCAGCTCCTCGGAGCCAAGGCGCCCACATGATACACCCATCCTGCTGAGCAGGGTCAGAGGCCAACTGGTGGGAGGCTGCAGGCTTGTCCTTCCACTGAAGTTCAAGGACCCATGCCCCCCCAGACCACGTCCACACTGCTCCCCGGGCACTCAAGGCCTCCATGCTGGGCCTGAACACCCTGGCCAGTCCCTCCGCACCAGGCCCCCCACGGACCCCCAGCAGACACTTCTCAGGCCCGAGTGCACAGCCCTCCCAGCACGAACTCGGGGGTGGAAATGACCGAGTCAGCGCTGCCTTGCCAATCCCTTTAGAGAGCGCCAAGGGGAGACCCTGCCCGGCCTCAGGAAGGCCAGCCCGACCAGCTTTCTGCCCAGGGGGGACCCCTGGTGCGCTGGGCTGGGCCCCACCAAAAGATCTGTTGGAGTCCTCACCCCTAGGACCTCAAAATGTGACCTGATTTGGAAACAGGGTCCTACAGAGAGAATCCACCAAAATGAGGTCACTAGAGTGGCCCTGGTCCAGAATGACCGTGTCCTCATCAAAGGAGAACCAGGACACAGACATGCACAGAGGGAAGACGGCCATCCCCGTGCCAGGGCAGATCCCCAGAGGACCCAGCCGCCGCCCGAGCTGGCCAGGGGCCCACCATCGCTGCTGCTGAGGCGCCCAGTCACCCAGCCTTGGCTGGCCCTCGGGGAGGAGCCCAGCTCGCGTCTCAGGCTTTGCTGGACCACAGGGTTCTGATGCTCCGAGGTGCCTGCCATGGGCCAGGCACACGGCTGGCACCCCATAAATGCTCGCTGTGAGCCTCCTGTTGTACATTCACTTTCCCTTCCAACACCTGCAGGTGACTGGCCCACGTGTCCTGGCCAGTGCTGTCGGGGCCTGACCGCCGAGCACCACAGTGCAGCCGCCCCGCCCCCTGCCTGCCTCCTGCGGCCGCAACTGACCAGGACTGTTGACCTCAGACTATTGAGCCAGCCAGCCTCCTGACCCCAGCGTTTGGGGGCTCTGGAGCATGAGTCCCTTCAAATTCCTGGCGAGCTGACCTCATGCTGCTTATTTCCGGGAACACAATGCAGCGGAGGAGGAGGAGGAGGAGGAGGAGGAGGAGGGAGGGGAGCACGAGGGGCGCTGGGGCCCGCGGCAGATGGGGGGGAGGGGCGGGGGGGAGACAGGCAGACAGGCCACACACAGAGGTGGAGACAGGGTTCGAGGGAAAGAGACCCCAAGGCAAAGCAGGCTAAGACCCTACCTTCTTGTACCTGGTGGGCAAATGAGGAACCCAGGCCGATGCCCAGCTCAGGCCTCCCCAGGAGGGCACCGCCCCTGACCCCCACCCCAGCCCAGAGCAGGGCCCACCAGCAGGATCAGCTCTGGGGCCCCTTCTTGGCTCCTTCATGGCCTGGGGTGGGGGTCTCAGGGGCGCTGGGCCCGCTGTCCCGAGGAGGGGAGCCTGCAGCCCGCCCACTCCGCCCTGGAGCCTCTGGCCGGAGGCTGGGCAGCAGGCCCTTGGGCAGCGGAACAGAAGGCCTCTGTCCCCAGGCAGCTTCCTGCTGCCCTCACAGGGGGACAGTGCTGCTGCTGAGCTTCTGGGCAGGGGCCTCTGGGAGTCTCTCCTGACCACCAGCAGCAGGCATGTCTAGAATAACGGTCAAGGAGCCGCCCCTGCTCCTGGCCCTGGGCTCCGTCCGGCACCCTCCAGAGCAGGGAAAATCAGACCCCCACCCCACCCCCAGCGGGCCGGGGATTCCAGGCCCAGCGAGCTTGCAGCCGGCTTCCTGACCCCTCCCTTGGGCCAGCCGTCCACAGCTGCTACAAATGGCCCAGCCTCGACAGTCCTCCCTCAGCTGGCCCTGGGGCACTCTGCCTGCTGCTGGGAAGGGCTCCTGCCGGGCACCGGGCTCTCACCTGCCCCTCCCGCCTCTCCCGGAAACCTCGGTCCCTCCTGGTCAGGCTCCGAAGTGAAGGAGCCACTCCCGCCCGCCCACAAGTTCACTGCCCGGGTGCCTGCAGGGCGGGTACTGTGCTCAGCTGGCCCCGGCTCCGCGGAGACGGCCTGCAAGCCCCTGGCCCACCTGCCGAACACCCACAGCTGCAGGTGGGCACAAGCCCATCTCCCAACAACACATTCGCCCGCACCTCCCAGGGCCCGAGGGGCCATCCACGTGGGCCACGCTGCCTCCTGGAACTGGGCGGGCGGGCAGAACCAGCCACCTGGCTGGCTCCGTGCCCAGCAGCTCCGCACAGCGGCTCTCCCTCGGCTGAGGGTCAAGAGGAAACAGCTCCCTTGTGGCAGGAAGGGCTGAGACGAGACAAAAGGAGACGGAGACGGATGTCCACCCTCCTGCTGCCGGAGGGTCCTCGCCGGACAGGTGTGGGGTGGTCTCACCCCTGTCCTTCACAGCACCCTCCTCTTCCTGCACCTCTGGGGGTCGGCGGACAGCTCAGGGCTTCACGGGGAGAGGCCCCTCCAGCCACCACCTTGCCCAGAAGCATCGCAGGGTTCAGAGTGGAGGAGGGTGTTCAAGGCACAGGCATGGGCACGACAGCGGCTCAGCACAGAGCACGCGCGTGCCCACACTCATGTGCACACCCAATCCCACTCACCTGCTGCCTCGGCCAGTGTCTATGAAGCCCCAGCTGTGCCTGCCAGGGGTGGAAAGCCACACTTTCCTGGGCCTGCCGTAACAAATGCCACGCTCTGGGCAGCTTCAAACAACACACATTTATCCCGCACGGTTCTGGTTCTGGAGACTAGACATCGGACCCGGGGCTCATCCTCTCTGGCGGCTCTGGGACAACTGTTCCTTGTCCTCCCAGCTTCTGGTGGCTCCAGGGGTCCTCTGCTCGTGGCTCCATCACTCCACCTCCCTCTGGGCCACATGGCCTCCTTCACCCCCTTCTGCACAGCCCCTGCTCTACAACTACCAAACGCCTACCGAATCCACTGAGCCCCAAGTGCGAGCCCTCATCTACAGACCTCCAACTATGTGCTGATGTCCACGGAGCACCTGTCATGGGCCAGACAGTTCCAGGCACTAGGGACACAGCCGTGAACTGAACAGACACCCCCACCCTTCTGGAGCTGAAAGTCCAGTGGGCAGAGAGACAACAGCCAAGTCAGCAGTGAGTAGGTAACTCCATGCAGCCAGGGGCGGGTGGGCAGCCTCCTGGTGCTCACTGAAGCTGCCTTCAGCTTCCCCTCACTCATGGTTCAGTCCCTGCGACTAAAATGTCACTCCCTAAGGCAGGGGCCAAGGTCACACACCAAATATGGTGCTGAGCACACAGCAGGCCCTCAGTAACGTTTAGGTGAACGGCTGTGTGCCGCCTGCCTGTGCCAACTCGTGTACGTGCCCATGTGTGCACTCCTGTGCTCGCCCACGGGCAGTGCATGCTGGGACAGGCACATGCATGCACACACACATGGCCTCTAACCCCAGCACAGCTGAGAGCAGATGGAAGCTCCCTGAGCTCAGAAAGGTCCCAAGTCTCCATTGACATGTCGTCCTGAGGCTGCTGAGCCTGCAGACAGCGGCACCACCTTGCCCTCCAACCGCAGATTCTCATCCTGGTCTTGTCCAGGCTTTAGGGCCCGGTCCCCAGCCAGCCTTATCCAAGACCTGCTCAGCCGGCCAACCTCTGCTCCCAGGCCCTCTCCCAGTCTCCACGTCCCCACCCCCACCCCGCCAGCTCAGCTCTGGGCGTTCAGTGTAGAAACACATCCTGCCCCACATCTACTACCTCCGAGGGTGAGCAGGCATCTCCCTGGGCGGGGTGCAAAGGCCTCTGCCCAAGTGCCACATGGGACCTCCCGCGCGGCTCCACACGCCTCCCAGAGCCCTGGGAGGGAAGAGGAATGACATGCAGACCTCTTTCTCAAAACGAACCTCCCCTGGACAGCGGTGCTCAGCGACAGTCCCTGGGGGTACAGCGGGCATCTGGGTGCAGGGGAGGAGCCCCAACTGCCATCCCTGACTGCCTGACTTGCTCTGTGACCTAAACAAGGGTGTCTCCTCTCTGGGCCTCAGTTTCCCTGTCTGCAGCACCAGAGTCCCGAGGGCAGCTTCTACCGCCTCCGCAAACGCACCCCACCCACCCCCTGCTCCAGCCTGGACTTCTCAGGGGAATGATCTTAACGTCATGCTTTCTCAGAAGGGGCCTGGGCTGCAGGGCCCTCCCAGGGAACCCCTCCTGAGCCTGTCCACCCAGCCCAGGCGCCCCTCCGGGGTCGCTGTGCCCCTCTCCAGTTCACCGGGCAGTACCAGGGCCTCCCTGCACAGAACTGTCCCAGCAAGCCGGGTCCCAGTCACCCCCACCGCAGAGCTTTGCTGAGTGAATATGGATGTAGTGGGTCCAGGGTGGGGGCAGGATCTGGCAACAAGGCAGGGTCAGCCTCCCAGCTAGGACCCCCAGCCCATGTCCGGGGGGATGGCCTGGCCCCTCCGCTGCGCTGGCTCCCGGGGATGGGGGCTGCCTCCACCTCGTCCCCTATGACCCCAAGGGGCAGAGGCTTGACAGGACGAGGGGTGGTCTCGGGCTGCCTGCTCTGCGTTGACCCCTCCCCCTCCGTGCCCCTGAGCGCACTCCTATAGGTGCCTGGACACGCTGGGGGAGGGGCAGGACCCCCCACGAAGCCCCGAGGGACCCCCCCACGCCGAGCTGGCGGCGGGCCCGGGGAGCCGGCGCGGGAGGGGCAGCTGCGCCCCGGTTCCGGAACGCGGCCTGAGTCACGGCCGGACTGAGCCAGCGGGGCGCCGGACGTGCTGGCGGCGGCCCGCTCCACTCGGCGGACGGGCAAACTGAGGCCGGGCGGCCCGCGGGGCCCGGCGGGGCACTCACAGGAGGTCGGGCCGGTGGCGGTGCAGGATGGCGCAGAAGGCCAGGCCGTCGCGGAACGACGTGGTCATGTTGGTGATGCTCACGTCCCGGTAGCCCTCGCACTGCTGCCGGCACCACTGCTGCAGCGCCTTGATGGCGGCCATGCGGGCGGCGGGCGGCGGGCGGCGGCCGCGCTGCGCCTGAGCACGAGGGCGAACCGAGCCGCGAGGACGGGGAGCCGGTCTGCAGCCGGTCGGCGGGCCAGCAGCCGGCGCGAGTGTGGCCCGGCCCGGCCTCTCGACCCCGCCCCCGCCGGCCCCGCCCCTCCAGACCTCGGCCCCGCCCCGCCGCCCCGCACTGGCCACGGCCTGAGCACGCCCCGCCCCTCCAGACCTCGGCCCCGCCCCGCCGCCCCGCACTGGCCACGGCCCGAGCACGCCCCGCCCCCTCCAGACCTCGGCCCCGCCCCGCCGCCCCGCACTGGCCACGGCCTGAGCACGCCCCGCCCCTCCAGACCTCGGCCCCGCCCCGCCGCCCCGCACTGGCCACGGCCTGAGCACGCCCCGCCCCTCGAGACTCGGCTCCGCCCCTACACGGCCCCTCCCCCACCAGGGCCCCGCCGCACTGCCTCCCTTCCCTTGGGCGGCCCGCGGGACCTGGGGAACGCCCGCCGGCCCGGCCCCCGCCGCCCCGGAGGCTTGGGATTGTCCTTTTCAGTGCCGGGCCGCCAGCAGCAGCCTCGCGGTGAAGTGGCAGACACCGCCACCTTTCAGACGGGGAAACTGAGGTTTGCCCAGGGTCACAGGCCTGGGGAATGGATCCAGGCTGGCTGCCTGTGGTCTCCGGGGACACCCCCCCACACACACACACCCAGCATGGCAACAAGCCGGCCCCGAGAGGGCTTTCCCATCCCGATTCTGCCCTAGCCAATGGCTCAGTTGTTTGGAGCATCTCCAGTGTATGGAAAGGTTCCGGGTTCGATGCCCAGTCGAGTATGTACGGGACAACCTATTGACGTTCCTCTCTCTCTCTCAAATCAATAAAAACTTATCTTCAGTTCAGGGTTTTAAAAATTAGGAAAAAAAATTCAAGCATCCACTTGGGTTCTCATGCCCTCAGGGGTGCCGGGCAAGGCAGGGCTCACTCCACCCAATTCACAGATGAGGTGCCTGAGGCTGGGACAGGGGTGTGGTGCCCTGGGAGCCCCTCCTGGAGCCTGCCCACCCCGCTGCTTCTGGGAGCGAGTGACTCTTTCCCATGTCACACTCTGAGTGTGTGATGCCGGTCACGAAGGAGAAGCACCTCTCAAGGGGCAGCTCTCCACTCTTCCCATGGAACCCTGTCTGTGGCCACAGACAGCCGGCCGGAAACAGGGACACTGGAAATGTGAGCGGCCCCCACCCACCTGCTTGCCCAGCCCCAGGGCTTGCCCAGACAAGGCCTGCAAGAAGAAAGGAAGGTGTTTTCCCCAGAGCCCAGAGCGGCCCCTGGCAGGGAGACAGGGTGACTTCTCTGTGCCCATTCAAAGGAGCAGAAACTGAGGTCCTCCATCTCTTCCTGCAGCTGGGCCCTGAGATGTGGACGCCTGGCTACCCAACAGTGTGAGTGAGGCCAGAGCGTAGATGATGAGATCCCTGTCTCAGGGGGCCTGTAGGCAGGTGCGTGGCAGGGAGCCCTTGAGCTGGGATCCTGCTGGGGGTTCCCGGCATGTGGACAATGGCGATCGATTCGTGGCTGTTCAGCCAGGCTGGTGGCTGCTCCTGGGACGGGAACCAACCGGGTTTTCTTTGTTGTTGTTGTTTATTCCTCACCTGAGGATATTTTTCTACTTTTCATTAGAGTGGAAGGGAGGGAGAAAGAGACAGAGAGAAACATCGATGTGATAGAGCCACATCGACTGCTTGCCTCCCACATGACCTGCCCAGGGCCCAGGACAAACCACAATTGAGGTACATGCCCTTGACTGGAATCAAACCCGCGACACACTGGTCCATGGACCGACGCTCTAACCGCTGAGCCAAACCAGCCAGGGCTCAACCCGGTTTCCTTGACCCAGGGCAGCAGTTAGAACTAGAAAAGCTGTTGAGAAGGAAAGGGCCAAGATGTCCCACTGTTACTGTGGGGGCTGCTCTGGGACCAACCTGGGGGGCAGCATTTGTGGCAGAGTCCCCACCAGCACCTCCCACACAGCACTTCCTCTGTCTGCCCTGCACCCCTCCGGGCCCTGAGCCACAGCACTCCAGCCCACCCACTGCTCCCCTCCCATCCAGGTCATCATCTTGCTGACCACTGTGCTAGTGTCGGCTACGGAAAGGGGACCTGGCCCTGAGCAGGGCTGCCTAGGGCTGCCTGATGTGTATGGGTTCTGCACTTCACAGACGAGGTCTCATGAGTCCAGCCGATCTGGAAGAACATTTGTTTACCAAGCTGGAGGCATGGGCACAGGGACGGCTCAGGGCAGAAGCAGCAGCAGGAGACCATGCGGGGCTGCTCTGGCTCACTGGGGAGTCTGAGAAAGGGGGGCTTGGAGACAGGTCCAGGGGGTAAACCTGGGACGAGCTGCCAATGCCCACTGCTCCCCTGGTTGCAAGTCTTGTGGGGCCCCTTAAGAGTTTAGGAGGTGCATACCTGTGGGGGAAGAGGGAGAAGGGAAGGCTTGGCTGTGCTCCTCGGGTGTGCACCTGGGACCTTTTTGCTTCCCCATTGCCATTTATCCCCCTTCTACCCTCCTCACCTCCACCACCCACCCCCTCCTCCCCGGGCCCTTTATTTTGAGGGGTTTTAAAGGCTGGGCATCCAGAGGAGGTCTTGGGGGAGGATCTCATTAGAATATTCACCAGCAGTATGCTGATGTGCCCAAATGAGATCACCTCAACTTCACCTGCCCTGGGCGTGGCTGGCAAATGGCACTAATTGGATTTCTGCTGTCTCCCTGAGTAGATGATTTAAACTATTTACTCTCTGGTTGGAAGAAGTGTAAGCCGTTTTCTCGCAAGTGTCCCTGGTTCAGGGAGGACAGGATTCACCAGGTGGGTGCAAACTGCTGTGTAACTGTTTCCCTGTTCCATTTGCCAAGGAATTTCCTCGCTTTGCCATCCTGCCTCACCCAGGCCCCGTCCAGCCACCATGCCCACCCCACCCCCAGCTGAGGGCCGGCACTACCTTGCTGGGCCTCCACAGCCCTCTGAATAAAGTCCAGGCCTTATCACACCTCCCAGCCTTTACCATTCCGCCACTCCCTGGCCTCGCCCTCTCCAGGCCCCTCCTGGCCTCAGATCTGGCCCATAGAGTCTGCACTGCCTGTCCTGGCCCTCTGAGACCCCAAACCCTCCCTGCCCACACCAGCCCACACGGTCCCTGCCAGGGCCTTTAGGGCAAAAGGCGGCAGGAGGACTTGGCTCCCTGCCTGGCCCACAGCGATGGACTGTACCTGTAGGAGGTCGACGGGCAGAGAGGCCAAGGGATGTCCCCCCTCCAGATTCCCAAGGCCATGGCTGCAGAGACCAATACCACTCTGTGCCTGCGGCCCTAGGCAGGAGAGGGAGCTGTAAGCGGTGACACCCCATTTTAAGGGGCCACCCATTAGCTAATTAGGCCCCATGAATAACGCATGCCGCCTCGGGGACATTAATAGCATATTTATATGGCACGTATGGATAGTGTATGTTCTCACAAATAATTCACAGCCCGCTCCTCTCCGGGCTGAGGGAGGACCCGGCCAGGGCTTCGCTGGGGCTCGCGGCTGCTTCCAACGGCCAGATTTTACATTTCATTATAAATGGCTTTGCCGGGCATGTCGGCAACTTTTACATTTCCATCCACTTGATTATTAATGGCTCTCCTGAACTGTGGCAGCCCAGCGTCGCACACAATGCGTTATAAATATTTGATCCGGCATCTATAGTCTGCCATTTATCATTTATAACGGGTTACAAAAACATTATAAAACATTTACCGCCCATTTATAGATCATTTTTGGCTACCACGACGATGTGTTATAAATACATTATTAATCCTTACGCTACTATAGGAACTCCTTGTAACGGGCCCAGCACTCCAGCTCCGTAAACAGAGCGTGCAGGGCCGGCAGGGGTGCCCTGGCCAGACACAGCACCTCTGCTCCCTACGAGTCAGTTGACAGCCACCCTTCACCCGGCACATCCTGGCTTCCCACCAGGCCAGACGCTCCACCAGGAGGGCACAGGTGAGAAGCCAGGGCTGTGGGCCCACCACCCTCAGGGTGGCTGATGAGAGCTGTGCCCCAGCTGGTCAGTGAGATGAGGCCTCACCTAGAAAATGCCTGTTCATCCTGAGACCCACTTGACATTCCACCTGGTCTGAACAGCCCTCCTGACTCTCCCGGGCCTGGCCTGTGGGATCCAACCTCAGGGCCCTGCAGGCCCAGCTGGGCCAGGCACCAGGTCCAGGTGCTCTGGTTGCAGGCACCCGGCTCCCAGCTCTGCCCACCCTGTGCAGGCCACACCCTCCTCGGCCACGACACTGGAAATGACCCCTCTGCCGGCACCGGCCTAACTGGGTCAGAGCCGTGAGCTGCTCTGAGAAAGGACATGGTGGGGAGTCTTGGACCAGGACCCCCGAGCAGCTTTGCCCGGTGTGACCTTGGAAAACTATCGCCTCATCTGTGAAATCAGCTGGTCCGTTCAGGGTGAAGTCGGAGCACTGGCCCTGGGGAGCCCTCATGGAGACCCGGGACCCCAGGGCCCCAGCTGCCTAAGGTTCGTGGCTGTCTAGCTGACCTGTTTGAAGGTCAGGGCTCAAGCCTTCCCAGAACTGAAAATGAAACCAGAAGGTATTCGTTATGAGGCTGTGAGGTAGCAGGTGAGCTCATCACCATGGCAACACCTACCTGGCTGCCCCTCCCTACCTGGGGAAGGAAGGAGCTGGTGTTGGCTGCCCTTCACCCTGTCTTAGCTGGGCATCCTCCCCTCTCTGAGAGCAGGGGACACAGGGCCTGAGGCTGGCCCCCCATGGGGCCCAGTGACGGGGAGCTCACCACCACGCCCACCACAGGAACTAGCTGACCCCAGAACAGATGGACAAGGTCCTGCCCTCAGGGACCCTGCCGAGTGTCCTCTCCCCACAGCTGGTCCCTGGGCCCACCAATTCAGTGGGAAGTGGCTATTGGTGAGGACAGGGGACCAGAGGGGCAGGCCAGCCAGGGGCATGGGTCACGGCCAGACTGGCCACTGGTCACCCTAGGGCCAGCTCCATCACTCCGACCCACACACTGTTGCGCACACACACCCCTGCCAGGCTGGTGTGAACAACAAGCAGTGAGAGTAGAGCCCGGCGGCCAGAAGGCACCGACTGTGGGCTGCCAGAGCCTTCCTGGAGGAGGCGCCCGGGGAGCCGAGCGTGAGTGGGAGCAGCCCAGTGGGCAGGGAGAGGGAAGAGGACCAAGCTCCATGGCGAGTCTGGGCTCCAGAGGCCATGTGGCTGGGGTGTGGAGCTGGGAGGAGGAGGGTCAGCATCAGAAGGGTCTGACACTTGATAGGCCACCCCCTCTCGGCAGCAAAGCTACCTGGGTCTGTGGGGACCAACGCCCACGTTCAGGCCTGGGAGGCTGCTGATCACCGGTCTGGAGAGGGAGGGGCAGAGCAGAGACGCTATAGCGGCCAAAGCAGGCCCAGCAACCTGCTTTCCGCCCTGAGACCCAGGTGAGGTGTCAAGACACCCAAAGGGGCTTGCATGCCCTCCGCCCCCACACACCTGGCCCGGCACTTCGGGGCCTCTTAGCTGTCTGCGCCCACAGGCCCCAGCCTGGGCCTGGTCACACCACCCACAACTCACAGCTCTGCCCAGAGCCAGCTGGAGACTCAGGGATGCCGGTCCACCTGCTTGGGCCTGTTTGCTCAGGTGAGGGGGACAGGGTGGCCTCGGGAGCACCTCCCGTACGCTGCCGGGGCCCGTGCACGCTCTGCCCTGCACGCTGGCTCCGACCCGATGCTCGGGCCCACGCAGCTCGCACCGCGGCAGACGCCTCTCCAGCCATGTCCAGGGCCGCCATCTTGCCTGGCGAGTGTGGGTTCTCCAGGTGCCGCCAGACCACCCTCCTCAGGGCCTGCCAGTCGCCTGCCCACAGCTGAGCCCTTCTCTGCCTCCGGAACGTGTCTGTGCTGCTGTCCTGGCCGCAGTGGACGTGGGGCTGATGCTGGCGGGACCGGGCGGAAAGGAGTCCAGGGGCCTCTCACACCCACGTCCCAGGTCCTTCACCCCTGGGAGCTGTGTTCCCAGAGACACACCAGCCACCTGCCAGCAACTCTGGGGCCCTGGGTGCGGCGGTGGCACTTCGGGCACGTGAGTGTCCCAGAGGTGGCTGCCAAGCCTGGGCGGGTGGGCCATGGTGACGGGGCTCTGGACTGGCAGTTCCGGGCAGCTGGGCAGGGTGGGAGGTGCCAGGCCACCCTCTCAGCTCCACGCCCTTCCCTGGGTCGGGCTGAGCCTCTAGCCCAGGAGTGGCCATCAGGGCAGTTCTGTGCCCCAAGCGAGGCTCCAAGGGCAACAGGGCCAAGAAACCACCCGCTCGGGCGAAGCAGCCCACGACGGGCAGGATCTGGACCTGCAGGCCACCGTGCCAGCTCTGGGATGCGAGCAGGTGCCCTCGAGAGGAAGGGACTGGAGGAGGCAGGGACCGAGCCAGGCCCGCTCCAGCTCGGGAGAAGCACCTGCAGTCCGTCACCAGAGGCCTCTGAGGCGCGCGGGTGAGGGAGCCCATTTCCGCCCCTCCCAGGGCCAGTCTCCAGAGGCCCAGGTATGGCCTGGGTCTGTTTTCAGCCACAGCGCCCCCTGGTGGCCCAGCTGAGCAGGAGCCGGGAGGATGCACAGGGACCTGAACCCTGGCCGACTTGGAGATGGGGACACAGGGATCCACTGGGTGCTGGGCCAATGAGGAGCCAGCGGGGGCAAGACAGGGGCCATGTGCTGGGAACAGGGCAGGAGTGTGGACAGGGTGGGAAGCCTCCCCCACAATGAAAGGCAAGGGGCAGACCCAGAGATGCTCGTGCAGTTTGGGGGCCCAGGCCTCACTAGAACGGCTGACCCGGCAGTGTGCCCCGGTGGCCTGGTGCTCTAGACCAAGTTCTGACCAGAGAAGCCCATCCCAGCTCCCGCCCTGCAGCGGGCAGCACTGCGCTGGGCCTTGTCCCTTAGCAACAGTGAAGGTGGGCCCACTGGCACTGGCCTCCCAGCTGCACCCTGGTGGGAGACCCGTCTGCCTGAGCTGGAGGCTGCCCCACAGCGACCCCCGCAGGCCGTGCCCTCCGCCCAAGGCATCCGTGGCTTCTATTCAAGGACCGACTCGGGGCCAGGAGGGCCCAGGGGCTGTGGCTCTTCCCCAGACACTGCCCGGTGGCAACTGAGACCGCGGCAGCGGGCAGGGGACACCCAGGTCACCCACACGCCCACCCAGGAGCAGGCTGGCAGCCTGGCAGACGAGCTCCACTCCGACATCTCGGGAGACAAGCACGCCAGCAGCCAGCACGTGAGTTCGGAATGTTTCATTCAGAACCCGCCCTCGCCGTGGCACCGTCCCTGTGGCTGCAAGAAGTGAGGGGCAGACCCCTCCCCAGCTGCTGTCTGGAGCACTGGCTGTGGTCGAATGCATCCCCCGCCCAGCCTTGGCAACTCGGGGCCCTCCCGCTCCTGCAGGAGACCCCCAGTGAACCGGAGGCTTCCCGTGCTGGGCCCGGGACCCTGGGCTGCGTCGAGGGCCTGGCCGGTGCGCGGTCGGCTGGTGCTCACATCACCGCCTCCATGTGCAGGATCCTCAGGGCCTCGGAGATCTGGGCGCTGGTGTCCACCTGGCCATACATGCCCACCAGGAAGGCCCGGTGCAGCAGCACAGCCGCGTGCTCTGTGGGAGACACGCCTCAGGTGGGCCCAGGGCTGAGGACTCCAGAGGCACCGCGCCGAGGCAGGGAGGGGCCGGCAGACTGACCTTGGCAGAGGAGGGTGTACTCCGGCAGGTTCCTGAGGGCCGTCTGTACCACCTCAAAGTCCCGGCTGCCCAGGCAGTACATGAACGTGGGCAAGAAGTCGGCTGCGATGCTGGAAAAGGCACGTTCTAGGTGGGCTCCTCCTGTCCATGCCCAAAATGGCCCAGACCTCTCTAGAGCCCCACCGCCGGCCCACTGCGCCCGCGGGCTCACCTGGGGTTGTTCTGGATGGAGCGCAGGGCCAGGCTGAAGGCCAGGCTGCGGCACGGCTCCTCCTCGGAGCTCATGAGCCGCTGCAGGTCAGTCTGCAGAGCAGAGGTGGGGAGTGACCGGGCTGGCCTTGCTCAGGGCACAAGTCCTCAGGCCTCAGGACCCCGACCCTGACAGCCGGCATGACGAAGGACACAACGACAGCAGGGAACCCCACTCCCCCAGCCCTCCCTGTCCCTAGACAGCTCCGGGACCTCAGACCCGTGGGCAGGAAGCACCTCGCCGGCGCGTGACCACGCAGAGTGGTGTTCCTGCCTTGGTCTGTGCTCAACTGTGCGCACGTGTGGGGCCGCCCCGAAGGCTCCCCCAGGGCCCAGGGGGCCTCTCCATCCTGCCCTCTGGAATGCTGGCACATGGCACGAGCTTCACACACCCCAGCCAGAGAAGCCGAGGTGCAGCAGGCAGCAGGGCCTCTCCCAGCCCCCAGCTCCCTCACCGAGAAGAAGCCCAGGACCTCGGGTCTCCGCCGGGACATCTCGTCTATGTCGCTCAAGACCTCCAGCAGATCTGAGGCAGGCAGAGGGCGGTGAGAACAGAGCAGCTGCGGCAGGACCCAGCGGCTGTGCCCCCAGCAGGGACAGATTGAGGGCGTCACAGAGACAGACCGCTGGGTGGTCCCCGGCCTAGCCCCTGAAGGCCCTCTGGGTGCAGTGTGGGACAGAACTCTGGAGCCCATGCCTCCTGGAACCTTCAGCACCGTCTTCAGCACTTGGTACAGCCCAGGAGTCCTCCAGCAACTCAGGGTGGAAAGCACCCCGAGTTCCACTGGCTTCGCAATACCACTAGGCCGGCGACCCCCAACCACGGCGCCGGTGGACTGGGAGCTTTCAGAGGTATACCCTACCCCCAGAGACCCTTCTCCAGACCTGAGGGCCAGCGGTCTGCACCTGTGCCACGTTGCCCACATGCCCTGGCCCACCCTCCTGCCAGGGGGCAGCTCCACCAAGGGCACCGATGCCCCAGTACTGGAGCCCTCGGCTCTCCTGCAGACACCAGCCAGCAGCCAGCCCACCGCCAGCTTTCCTTCCGCAGGCGCCCCCACAACTGCAGGAGCCCCCACCCTTCTGCTCTGTCCGGGACCCGCCCCTCCCGGGCCAGCAAGGCCTGCTCTTCTGGACGAGGCCCTGCCACCCACACTCACCCTCCACGGTCTGGCCCCGGGAGAGCCTCTTCATGTAAGGGGCCATTTCAGCCGCGGTCAGAGGAGTGAAGAGGGAGACGCTGACCAGGGGCAGGGAGCCCGCCGAGCTCTCGTCTGGAAGACAGCAAGCAGGGCTGTGGGCTGCGGACAGAGGCCGCCCCAGGAGCCCTGTCCGTGAAGGTGCACCCGGGGATCAGGATCACCCAACACCAAGCCCGCGGGACCCACAGGTGCACTGGGGCTGTCCCTGCCCAGCAGCCCTAGCATCACTGAGCAGGGCGCCTGGTGCCCCGTGGGCGGTGTCATGTGATGGAACAGGGGCCACGGCGCTGCCACCCGCTCTGCTCCCTCCCTGCGCTCACTGAGCACAGCACATGCTCAGCAAGCACCTGAGTGCTGGCCCGGTGCTGAGTCTCTCTCTCTTTTTTTTTTATCCTCACCCGAGGATATTTTTGCATTTTTTTGTTCAGATAGAGTGGGAGGGAGAGAGAGAGAGAGAGAGAGAGAGAGAGAAACATCGAGGTGAAAGGGACACATCGAGTGGCTGCCACCCGCACAACCCAACCAGGGCCAGGGACAAACTGCCACCGAGCTACGTGCCCTTAGCGGGAACCGAACCCGGGTCTCTCTGGACTGCAGGTTGATGCTCTAACCGCTGAGCCAAACCGGCCAGGGCCCGGTGCTGAGTGTTTCCACGGACTGACGAGAGCCACATACCCACGACATGGCAGCAGAGGCCCTGAAGGGCTCTAGGTCCCTCGCTCACTAGACACGCGGAGCACTGACAGCCCTGCCTGCAGGCGCGGGGTGACCACTGGGTGTGAGGGCTCAGGACCGAGGCGAGAACAGATCAGGGGGGCGCTCGGCCAGCTTCCACGGAGGGTGGGGCACTGTGCAGTGACATGGCCCCCCCACCCGCACACCTGAGGCGGTCCCAGCAGACCCCGGATCCACTCACCCTCCCCCTCCTCGTCCAGGCCTTGGTCGGCTCTGCCGTCCCTGCTGGGCAGGCTGAGCCCTGCGAGAAGGGACTTGAGCATCACCAGGTCACTGCTGTCGAAGGACAGATCGCTGGGGAGAGCAGAGGTGACTGTGAGGACCCCTCCAGGTGGGGTGACGGGGGGGGCAGGGGGGGCGGGGAGGGCGGGACACTCACTGGAGCGCGTCCGAGTGCTTCTGCAGGAAGGCCACGGCTGCTGGGGCGTTGCAGGCGATGTACTTGTGGGTGAACTGCACGAACTTACTCAGGAAGGGGGCCAGGTGGCGAGAGGACTTCCTGTAGTTCTGCAAAGGGCAACTATCAACGTGGAATGCTCGGAACCTAAACGCGTCCCATCCCGCCACGCTGTCTCCCCTGCAGGCCTCACAAGAGACCCTAGGCACCGCCGACGCCAGCACCACCTGCTGGCCACTGAGCACTGTGTATGGTGAGGGTCCCAAGGGGACAGAAGGTCCTTGCCCTTTGTGCCTCCCGGTGCTAACAGGGGACACTACCTGGAGCCCGTGACCATGGGGCATGAGCGCAGCAGAGGCACAGCGGTGCAGGGAAGGTTGCCCATCCCAAATGGGCTCTGAAGAAGGTGGGGTTTGCCAGGCACACGAGCAGCTAGGGGCCTTCCCAGGGTGAGCGCTGGTCCCCAGGGCAGGCCAAAGAGCTCTGCTTCCCTGCAGGGGTCCCAGGAGCCCTCACCCAACAGCCTCGGGCAGAGGGCACAGGGCACAGGGGGCAGCGGGATGAGCTGAATGGGGAGGGTTCAGAGTGGGGGCAGCTGGCTGAGGAGGGAGTGGAAGAGGAACAAGCAGCCCCACCAGGCTGTGCGAGGGCAGGGGCAGGGGCAGGGGCGGGCACCCACCAGAAGCAGGCGCACGAAGGAGAGCAGGCAGTCCCACAGCGCCCCCTGGTGCTCGCTCTGGAACACTTGCGGCTGGAGCAGCTCCAGCACGCCCAGGACGTGCAGGAAGAAGGTCAGGTGGTTCTGCTGCCGGAACTCCTGGAAGTTGAGGTGGGTCCGGCCATGCAGGAGAGCAGCAATCATGGGCAGGTGCCTGGGGACAGGACAAGTGATCCATGGGCCTGACCACCCAACACGACGTGCGGCCCACAGCACGGTGGACAGAAACGCCTGTCCTGACCTGCGCATCGGAGCCCACCCCCCTGGTACCAGGTCAGTGAGGAGGTTCAATCCACTGATGGCCCTCTGCTGGGATGCCCTGGCCCCTCCCACTAAGGCCCAGCTGCTGGACTGTCGGCCCAGACCTGTTCTGAACAGCCATCTGGAGTGATGGCAAGGCTGAGTGTCCCCAAGCGCCAGTGCAGGGCGGGGTAGGAGCCATGGGCAGTACCTGAGAAGCAGAATGGGATGAGCCACAGCCAGCTTCCGACAGGCCATGTTGGCGTCGGCCACACGGTTCTCGGATGCCCGGGAGTCGCTGGTGTCGGCCAGGAGGGTGATGAAGCGGTGTGTGAGCACGTCCAGCTGAGGGAAGGGGTCGGAGCTGGGGCCCTGCAGCCTTCACACCTCCCCCGCCCGCCCCAGAGCCAGCCTGCCCTGAAGGGGCTGTGACGGCGCACAAGGGGCAGGGAGTGGGTATCTGGAGCCAAGGGCCATCCTGCAGGAGTGGGCGGGGCCACGCAGTGGCCTGGAGGGCTCCTGCCAGGCTCTGGTGCTCCTGCAGGCCAGCAGGCCGCAGCCAAAGCGTCCAGACAAACTCAGACGCACACTCTCTGAAGTCAGCCTCTCCACACAGAACAGAAACTCAATGCCGACACAACCTGACGAGCGGGGAAGCCAGCACTGCACGCACAATACGCTCCACTGAGTGAAATGCAAGGAGATTGATCAGAAGAGAGCTGCTCCCTTGCCGCACGGGGACCTGGGTGCAGAGGGCCCCAGACCCCTCTCCCTGCCCCACCCACTGAGAGAAGGGCCCCGGAGTGGACAAGCAGGCGGGCCTGGCCCACAAAGCCACATGGCCACAGAGAGAAGCGCCAGGCCCAGGCGTTCTGTGGCACGTGGTTGCGAAGCAGACACACTGTGGCAGTGCCCGCCCAGGGGGCACTGCCCGAGTGTGCTGCTGACAGGGAGGCTGGAGGCAGAAAGGCACTTGGGGCCTGGCTGTGGGTGGTCTCAGGGCACACAGCCAGCCCCATCACGGCACCCCACTCCTGTGCCAGTGGTCCCCTGTGTAGAAAACACCCACTCTTCCCTGCTCCGTGCCCAGAGAGCTTTTTAAGGAGAAAAAGCCAGTTCCGAGACCCTCTCGAGGCTGGACAGGCACAGGGCTGCCCAGACACGATGCCGCCAGCACCAGGTCCCTTCTTGGTTCTCAGAGCTGAAGAAGCGCGTCTCCTAGTCTGGGTTCTACCTCAGGCGACAGAAGCCGCGAGCACAGCCCTCACCTTGCAGATGCTGCTGGCGGTGGCAGCCACGCTGTGCAGCAGGACCTCGGGCGCGTGCACGCGGAGCTCCGGCCGCTGCAGGTACAGCTGCACGAGCAGGTCCTGGCAGCGCTGGCCCAGCACACTGGAAGGACAAGGGCAGTGCTGGGGCTCGGCGGCCAGGAGTCCCGGGCTCACACGGGGGCTCACACCCGCCCGGGGCCCATCACACTCTCACCTGTCACCCCACTGCTGGATGCAGCCTGTTAGGTGCGCGGTCACCTTCCTGATGCTGTCGTCGTCTCCACGGCAGCAGCTGAGCAGCAGGGGCAGCCGGGCCTGGAGGAGGCCACAGGCCGAGGCGTCCCCGTCCTGGCCCCTGGTCTCAGCCTCCGCCAGGACCAGCTCCACCAGGCCAATGAGCTCAGAAGGCTGGACGAGCAGCGCCAGCTCCTCCCGCCGCTTCTGCAACAGGCGCCCCGTCAGCCAGTCCCGGGGCAGACCGGACGGGCTCGCGTATGCACCCCCTCCCCGCTGCAGCGGGGCCCACGTGAAAACCTGCCTGCGGGGTGCGCTGGTCCCTCCCCTGCCAGACCCGAGGCACGTGGATGCAAGCCCAGAGGAAGTCCAGGGAGGCCGAAGGGTCGAACCTGGGGAAGCAAGGGGCCCGTGAGCGTGAGGCTGTCTGTTTCTGGCTCAGAGGGAAAAGCTGCGGTACGGGGCAGAAAGGAGACGCTGAGGCTCCCTGTCAGCCGTTTAGGCCACACACTGCCCCGGAGCTCTCTAGTTAAGGGCACAGGTCCATGGTCAAAGGACACAGGCGGTTCTATCCCACCTGCCCTTTCCCTACCGCACACTGGCCCCGTCCACAGTGTGGACAGCCGATGACACAACCCGAAGTGAGCTGCCTGTTCCTGCCCTGGCCGTCACCCGGAGCAGGGACACAGGGCCAGGTGTGCTCTGCACCCTAAGGAGGTGACGCCCACTGAAGGGCCCCCTTCCTGGGGAAGTGGCGCAGCAAGGGCCAGGTAAGGAGCACCAGTGGGCACCAGGCCTGAGGAAGTAGGGGACAGGGCGCCGGGTCAGATGCCTGAGGGTCCGCCGTGCCCGGCCCTGCTGAGCTAGCCTGGGCAGCACGGGGCAGGCGGGGTGGCGAGGACTCACCTGTGCTCCCGGTTCTTGCCCAGCAGGACGCGGATACACTGGTGCAGCGTGGACCAGTTGGACTGATGTGTGAGGAGAGCCAGGAGGTAGGGCCGGAAAGAGGGCACCTGGGGACCGGGCTGACCTTTGCCCTGGGGAGACAGGAAACCCGATGGTCCCTGCTCGAGCCACAGGAGTCAGAGGAATGGGGCCGTTTCGAGGGAGCAGCAGGGTCACCTGTGTGTCAGGCCCGGCAGCCACTCCGCAGGTGACGCCGTGTGCTGAGCTGAACCGACCCCTCAGAGAGGAGGACAAATGAGTAAACACGACAGAATGGACCAGAACCACGCCCTCCTGCTCGTGCCCCCTGGTTTTCTCCAGAACCGCCACAAAACCTGAGCAGTTCCGATTTAGGAAAGTAGAAGCAGCCACAGCGCAGCCGAGACTACAGGCCTGAGTGAGCACGTGGCTCCCAGCTCCTCCCACCACGCTCTGTGCTTGCCAGGGTTCCCTACAGACAGACGGACGCCCCAGGGGATAGCCTCCCCCGCAGGGCCCAACATGAGCTCTGCTGCTCAGAGGACCGTCCCTCCTCCGCTCTCCTAGCCCGTGTCCCAGCCACAGATCCGCTGGTCCATGTGAGCGGCTGGCAGGGCGCGCGGGCCCATCTGGGCAGATGAGAAGCAGGCCCGGGAGTCTGGGCAGACACAGGGCCGAGGGGCACGGCGCTGTCGCAAGCCCACCTTGCTCTGGGAGAACAGGAGCCTCTGCTGCAGGTCAGGGCAGCTGCTGATCACCTCAGGGTCCAGCAGCTCCAGCCAGTCCACCAGCAGCCCCGAGCAGGGCCCCAGCCGCACGGCCTCCAGGCTGGAGGGGAGGGGAGGGAGGGCTCAGAGACGCCGGCCACGGCCGCCTGCAGGGCGGGCTGCCACCCCGCCAGCTCACCCGCCAGCTCACCCGCTGCTGTCGGCGTCCTGCTTCCCCGCGGCCAGGGGCCCCTCCTCCTCCTGCAGCAGCAGGGAGCTCACCACCACGACGGGCCTGGAGGCCGGGAAGGCGGAGGCGGCAGAGAAGAACGCAGTCAGCAGCTCCTCCAGGTGAGGCGACCTCAGCTTGATCAGACCCCGCAGGACTGTGGAGGAGGCTGTGTCACCCCTGCCCAGGGAGGGAGCCCGGCGGCCCTCAGGCCACCCGACTGCAGGACAGACAGCCCCCATCCTGTACTAATAATGCCCTGTGCCCACATCCGGGACGGCCAGCAGTGGGTGGCAGGTTGGGGACCCGCCTCGGGGTGAGGGGAGACTGGGGCAAACTGGTCCGGCCCCGACATGGACTCATCGTGTGCATGAACGCCCCTCAGCAAAGCCAGGCGAGGGCTAGGGGATCACAGGGCGAGGCGCCCTGGGCTGGGACGCAGACCTCTGTGTGGGGCAGTGGGATGGGGGTCCTCACAGGCCCGGGTCCCAGGTACCTTTGCCAACAAGCTCGGGCTCCACGCCACACTTCTCCCCAGACCTGAGGGTGGCAACAAGGGCCCGGACGGTAGAGCTGACCACCTCCATGTCCCCACGAAAAGCCAGGGCCTCCGCCAGGTGCAGGAACCCACTCCGCACTGCAGGGACACATGCGTGTGACCAACTGGCCGGGGCTTGGACTCAGCCCCTCACTCTTGCCAGCCCGGCCTGTCCGGAGAGTCCCCGAACTGCCGGCACCCTGGGGTCCCCCGTGCACCCCCCTCCCTCCCTGGGAGCCTCCCCGGAACCCTGACCCTACACCACCTGGCCATGTCCACAGGGACGCCCATCCAAGGCCCACACACATGAGCACACAGCTCCGTCTGTGCTGACCAGGCCGCCCCACCCCAGTGGACAGCAGACAGCTCGGACCCCAGCCCACAGGCACTGGCTGCTGTCCCCGCTCCACCGCTCACCATCGCTGATCTTGCGCCGTGACGAGTACTGGGCAGCAAACAGCTTGAGCTGGGCCTGCAGGGGCCCGGCCTCTGCACCCGGGCTGTCCAGCCACTGCAGCATCTGCATGAACAGTTTGAGCAGCAGCGACGAGAAGCCGGTGTCCTGGGGCACACAGCGCTGTGGGGACAACAGCGGCACGTGGCTGCCCTGGCTGTGGCCAGACGTGTCACAGGCCTCTCCACGGTGTTCCCCCCCAGGGGCCGCAGGACCTGAGAGTCAGGCGAGCCACCTGCTGTTTGCGACTTATCTCCATGTAAGTTTAATCAGGGAAGAGCTCAAACAGACTCAAAGTGCAGCCACAAGGACAAGACGCACCCTCAGTGCCCGGCGCAGGCGGCAGGCACAGCAGAAACCACCCTCGCCCGCGGGCTGGACCCTCCAGGAGGGGAGGCCCCACCTGCCCGTGTGCACACCCACCTGGTACTGGCAGAGCAGGCGCAGCAGAGGGCAGGCCAGGAAGTGGCTCCGCTGCATGGACACCACCAGGGCCCTACCGTGCTGGGAGCTCAGGAGGGTGGCCATGGCCTGCAGCAGGCGCACCGCAACGCCCGTCACCTCGGGGCTCCCCTGGCGGACTCGCGCCAGCTCCTGGCCCAGGGCCTGCTGCAGCACCAGGGCGACAGGGCGGGCGCTGGAGATCTGCCACCGTGGGCCCGGGTTCAGCGGGAACACCTGGACAGAGGAAGGACAGTGGTCGGCACAAATGCGGCAGAAAGGTGGCCCTGTGCCCTCTCCCCCGTTGCCCATCTCCACCACCATCCCCTCGCTGCAGAGGCCTGTGCTGGGGGCTGTCTGGTGCCTGCAGGGCTCTCCTCACTCAGGGAGGACCAGGCTGCTTGGGGACCCCAGCTCAGGGGAGCAGCTAGTCCACGCCCTGCTCCCGAAACCCCCACCCACCACAGGCCCAGCATCTGCGATGGGAGATGCAGGGCCCAGGGCGCAGGGCCCTCCCGCAGGTGCGTCCGAGCGGAGCGACCAGGGCTGCATGTGCAGAGAACACATGTGGACCCGGGACCACTGGGCACAGAGCTCCACGCACACACGGTCCAGAAGAGTCAGGATGTTGAATGGTGGCGAATGAGGGCAGGGACCAAGAGGAGGGCACAGGGTTCCCTGGGCAACACGACACTGCAGTGAGCCAGAGCAATGGCCGCACAGCTCTGAGTGTACTGAAGTCGCCTGAACACTTCTCAGTAACGTGTCAGCAGAGCGTGGCCAGGCCTGGGAGGGCCACGTGAGTGCCACGCAGGCTCGTCCGGACCCAGCAAGGGCATGTGCCCACTACAACCAGGCCAGAGGCTAGGCCACTGCTGCTGGACAGGTGAGGAGAGCCACGGCCCTGCAGGAGAGCCACGACCACTGTCCTTCCTCTGTGGGCCCTGCTCTCCTGTTTTGTAATCCTCACCCGAAAATTCTTTCCTTTAGTCTTTAGAGAGTGGGAGAGAGAAAGGTGAAGACGAGAAACATCGATGTGAGAGAGACACATAGACTGACTGCCTTCTGCACAACCCTGACCAGGGCTGGGGACCAAACCCAGGTACGTGCCCAACCAGTAATCAAACCCACGACCCTTCGGTCTGCAGGCCAACACTCTAACCACTGAGCCAAACCAGCCAGGGTGACACCAAAAACCTCTTACAACCACCCTGAGGGGGGCACTGTTCTGAACCCGACTTTATGGCGTAGAAAACCAAGGCAGAGAGAGGGTGTGGCTCGTCAGGGTAGGAACTAACTCTGAGGACAAAAGCCATGGTTCTGACCGGGTGGCCAGCTCCAAAGCCCCCTCTCCCCCTTGAGGTGGAGTCTCAGGCAGGAGGAGGGGCGGACAGTGGGGACGCCCTGCTTCCCAGGCAGCGGTGGCAGTTACCTGCAGCAACATGCTGGCCAGGTCGTCCTCGGGGCCAAGAACCCGAACCTGAGTCACGGCCCGGACCCTGCCCTGGCCCGCAGGCGGCTCTGGGCTGCTTTTGGGTTTGGGCATCTCTGCACTATCTGCAGGGACAGGAACAGGCGTCAGGCGTCGAGTCCCTGACCGGCCTCAGCGGGGACTGTGAGAACAAGGCCGCCCGCCCAGAGGCCCACCGCCGGAGAAGAGCAAGACGAGCAGGCCCTGGGCAGGAGCCCAGACACCGGCCAAGAGCAACCATCCCCCTGGGTCTGGGACGGGCCAGGCTGGTACCTCGCCGGGGAGGCAGGGAGGCTGTGAGCAGGGAGTGGAAAGTCTGGCCTCCGGATGCCCCTCGCTCGTGCTGGACCTCGACCAGGTGGGCCATGTAATCTGTGGACAGCAGCAGATGCCCGGCCATGGAGCAGGGCCTTCCAGCGGGAGCAGCAGTGCTGGGCACGCCCACCCAAGCGTGTGCCAACAGCTGGGCTAGCCTCTCCCGACCGCCCTGCTCGGAGCTGCAGCCCTACCCCGGGCCGAACACGCCAGGTCGCGGGTGCTGACGGACAAGTGCTGGGGACCCCTGGCCTTACTCTTGTCCATGATGTTCTGCTCCAGGGTCTGGGGGTCGTGGGCCACGGCCTGGTCCAGGTACTGGAGGAGCTTGCTCATGCTGGACACGGGGATGCCGAAGGACTGCACGAACAGCAGCAGCTGCTGGGGCTCCAGGTCCTGCAGGGCTGAGGCCACACTGGCTCAGCACCACCGGTGGCCCAGGCCTCCCCACCGAAGGCGGCCGGGGGACAGCCGGGGCCCACGGCTCGCTCCACACTGCACAGGGCTTGCGGCTGCTTTCCTCTCGGCTCCCAACCCCCGAGAACCGTCAGGGCTCCCCATGGCCTCCCAGGAGTCCAGACGCCTTCGAGCACAATCTTCTGTGCTGCCGAGGCCACCCCACCACTCACCAAGCCGCCTCCCCAGTGGTCCTGCCCTGAGCCAGCACAGCCGATGCAACCTCCTGCCAGAACCACGAGGCCCTGCCCTGCCCTCCTTTGGGCTCCCAGATGACTCTGTCCTGGTCCACACTGACGTCCTCAGCCTCACGCCGAGATAATGGCCCTGACACCCTGCCCCACCCAGCCCAGGCCATACCTGCATCCACCAGTCGCGGGACCTCGGAGCGGATCATGCGCAGCTTCAGCCAGTCAGGCAGAAGTAGTGCCTCCTCCGACGTGTCCACCAGAAAAGCTGTGGGCAGGGGCTTCTTCTCCGGGAACCAGATGTCTAGCAGAGCCTGGAACTCGTCATCGCCGGCTTCGGGAGAGACGACAGGGTAAGCAACAGAAGTGCCTCCACGAGGCCTTTCCAAACCTCTCCATCCAAGGAGCCCCAGCCCGCACACTACTGAAGGCAGGCTGGGGAAGGCAGTGCACTTCCCCGTCTTCTCCACAAAGATCAAGGCCCTGAGGACACACGGGTGCCCGCCGTAAGGGAGCGCACCCTCCGCGGAGCAGGTCTGAGTGGCTGGGCGGGGACACGGAGGCAGAGGCACAAGGAGGCGTCCTGGGCACTGCCACAGGCGTCTCAGGGTGACGGGCAGCGATGGCGGGCAGTGCGGTCAGCCTGCCAATCTGAGGTCCCACCACATGCACGATGTTGTGTGCTCCCCCAGAACCCCCTGGACAAGCAGGAGAGGACTCCCCATCCACCTCCACTCCAGGGGAAACTTAGGAGGGCTGGGACAGGAACCCCAAGGCTTTTCAGCATAAAACAGTGAGCCTGCCTGGGACAGACCCTGAAGCTGCCCCCCACGGCCACCAGGCTGCTCACCACGGGGCGGCCCCAGCGTCAGCAGGATGACCATGGCATGGACCACCAGGATATGCATGGTGGCCGTCTCCCCACTGGTCCAGCGAAGGAAGACCTGGTCCTGGGACTCCGACTGCAGGGAGAGGACAAAGTGAGGGGCTGGGGACGGGCCTCGCGGGCAGGACGGGCCCCACGGGCAGGACGGGAGGAATGCCTTACCCAGCTGTACACCTCCTCCCCCTCCTTGCTCTTGCGCATGCGCCTGACGTAGCGGGAGAAGACGGAGAGCAGGGCGGCCAGCACCGCGTCCGACTCGGCGCTGCAGGAGCGCTTGGAGAACAGGTGGGACATGATGGTGGAGCGTTCCACGATGAGCCGGGCCACGTCCTGGGGGCAAGCACGGCCATCAGGGCTTTCTCACTGCCAGGCCCGCAGCCACGAGCCGGGGCACCACGTGGCTGTCCGGACACTGCACACGCTCAGCAGGACCGCGAGCAGCGGTGCCCACAGCAGGGAAGGGCGCCGTGCACAGGCTTCACACACAGGGGCTCGGGTGCCAGCAGGGCTGGGGGAGAGGGCACAGCCCTGACGAGCGCGTGGCTGACGCTGCCCGCCCAGCCCCAGACAGCCCTCCAACACCACCCCGTGAGCAGGGGCGCAACCCTGGGGACCCGAAGGGGAGACTGCACAGCTACGCGCTGGGTCCCACAGCAAAAGCCACAGCCCGCAGGGAGCCAGGCAGGAAGAGCCCCCCACCCGCGCTCCGTGCAGGCCCTCGTTCACCCCGCGCCCTCCCAGCAGGCCCGCAGGGACACGAGGCAGAGGAGAGCGGCCAGAAAGGAGCACCCCTCTCCGACGGGAGCACAGCGCAGACAGCCTGGGCGTGGCCACGCCCACAGCCAGAGCAACCAGGGCAGCCAGGCCTCAGGGGTCACAACGGCCAATCTGGCACCAAGTGGCACCTGGTTCAACTGCCCTTCGTGCCTGTTCTGGCCGGGAGGTCACCAAGAAGCAAGCTGGGAGCTCAGAGCCTCCCCCTAGGGACGGCCCTGCTGGTCTGCACCCGCACCAGGGCCAGGTCGCTGTGCTGGCCCTGCTCCTCCACGGGTGTGTGCTGGGACAGGTAGACCAGGTAGGCGCTGATGGTCTGCGGGTCGGTCTCCATGTGGATGGCCTGCTGCAGGGCCAGCGCGGTGGAGGCGCTGACGCTGTGGAACAGGGGCAGCCTGGGCAGGTCGCGCAGCAGCCACTGGTAGCCCTGCAGAGCGTCCGTGTCCCCCGAGTCCTCCTCTGCCGGGGGCTCCTTCTCCTCCCCATCTCGCAGGCTGCCCTCCGACAGCACCAGGGACAGGCCCTGCAAGCAGACACTCAAGCTGGGCTGGGTCTCCACACCGCGCCTCCACCAGTGCACCCTGGCCGGGGGGCGGGGGCAGGGGGCCAGGCTCCGAAGCCCAGGAGCACGCGGGCTGCCAGGTGACAGGCTGTCCTGTCAGAGCTGCTCCAACGAGAGGGCAGAGCAGGCGGACCCGGCGTGACACACACAGCAGGTTCCCAGGACCCCAGGAAGGAGCACGGGAAGAGGGCGGAGCCAGCACTGTCCCTCCGTGTGTGAGGCCAGCGGGGGAAGAGCTGGGTGGGAACAGTCCCGGCCGCAGAGCCGAGCGGAGCAGGGTGCGCGGCACAGAGGCAGCTGCTGGGCTCACCTTCATGGCCAGCACCCTGGAGGCCACCTGTGAGGAGCCGAGGCGCCGCAAGAAGTAGTCCAGCACCTCGCACGTGGTCTGCTCGTCCGCCTTGGGGCCCAGCAGCAGGTCCTGCAGGCGGCCCAGTAGCTGCTGCTGCTTCTGCTGTCTCTGTGGAGACCAGGGGACCTCAGGGTGGGCGGGGGTGGGGAAGGGCGGGGCAGGTGGAGGGGCAGAGGTGGGGAAGGGCACTCACCTGCCGCTTCTTGGCCTTCTGCTCCTTGCTCCCGCCCTCCTCCTCCTCGCCCCCGGAGGCAGCGCCGTCGGCAGCGTCGTGCAGCAGAAACTCGCACAGGCACTGCACGGGCAGCACGTCCAGGGAGCCCTCGCTGGCCTGCACCAGGTCGGCCAGCCAGGGCATGGACTGCGACGAGGCCTGGCAGGGGACAGCGGCGCTCAGCTCCTCGCACCTGACACCTGCCTTGCCCCTTCCCCAGCCCATCGGCCTGCACCTGACACCCGCCTCGCCCCTTCCCCAGCCCATCGGCCCGCACCCCGTGGCCCCGGCCAGTCCTGTCCATCAGTTGCCGTGCGGCAGCCCATGCGGCCCTCTTCTTACCACAGCCTTCTTTAACGCCCGGCACTGCAGCTCAGGCAAGTGCCCGCCCGCCCGCCCACCAGGACTCGCCTGCCTCTGGATGATGTTGAGCAGAAAGTCTGGGTTTCGGCTCCGACACAGCAGGTGCCCAAGGCGGAGAGACTGGTTGAGGCTTTTCACTTGGTCCAGGATGTGAGGGGGTGGCCTCCGGGGGGGCCCTCTGAAAGTCCCAGAGGACACGGCAGTGTCAGAAGTTGCCCGTGCAGAGCCACCAGAACAGCAGAGGGGAGTGAAGGTGGGAAGCACCTGCAGCCCACCCAAGGCTCTCCCTCCTCCCAGTGGCCGGGGCGCCGCCCTCCTGTCCCTGCCTCACCTCACCTCACCCGAGGCAGCTCCGTGGGGACCAGGGAAGCGCTATCTCAGGGGCTGCTCCTCCAGCCACCCATCCCCACCCGCGGCTCAGCACGAGCCTCCCCATGGTTCCAAGCAGCCGAGAGGCTAGGGACTCGGACACAGAGCGTACTGGGGGTCCAGGCTGGTGAGCTGAGACAGGAGGAGGCTGCTGCTCTCCGTGATGGTCTGCTTGGTGGACGCGGCGGCCAGGTGCCCCTCGAATGCCAGAATCTCCTGCTTCTCTCGCTGGGAGATCTGCAGCTCCCGGTTCAGCATCTCGGTGCGGGTCTCCTCATCCGTCAGGGTGCACGGAGGGTAGGAGTAGTTGCTGAGAGCCGGACAGAGAGGAACTGTCACCATGCCACTGGAGGCACTCAGGGTCACCCTGCCCGGCACCCAGCTTCAGCTCTAGGGTGCACTGGGGGACCCAGGGCTGTGGGCATCAACATCAGATGCCTGGAGGGAGACCGGTGGTCTTCAGAGCCCGCTCCCGGCGACCTGAGCTCCCTGCGCATAACAGTGTGCCCACCTCAGGACCAGGCCCCGTGTCAGACCCTGCACCAGAGCTGGGCCCAGACTCCATGCTGCACCCTTCCCCCAGGCAGACGCGCCACTCCTCTGCTGCATCCTACAATACAGTCTACCCTCCCCTGACGTCCACGCGTCCCAGTCTGTCCTCTGGCTGCTCCGCCGGCTCTCAGGTACAGGTCAGCCCTTCGAGTGTGCGTGGAGTGTCTCCAGCCCTGGCCACGTGTGCCAGAGTCCACATGTACACACGGCCCTGGGCACTAGAGCAGGCAAGGCAGCCCACGGCCATGCCTGTGTCCGGCGCGTCACCTATCGCTGCGCCCAGGCCGCTCTCACACCTGCTCCCGATGAGCCACCTGGTCTCCATCTGCCTCACCCTTCTGGTTTCTGACCCCTCCCGTCCCTCCTGCATCCCACCACCTGCCAGTCACATGAGGCCGCCAGGAGGAATCCCTGCAGCCGCAGTGCCGGCCCCACCCCCTGCAGCAAAGGGAAGAGGACAAAGTTCTGAAGGGTCAAAGTCAGTCACTCAAGCCCACAGGTGACGGGAACCCAGGAGGCCACTCAGCTGAGACTCTAATGCGGCCAGGGGCCGGCATTCCACTTCCCAGCAGACCAGGCCACCCTTCGGGGGTCATCTTGGCAGGAAGAGAGCCCACGTACTTGGTCATCACCATCTCCATGAGCATCTTCAGCGTGGGGTACTCCTCCCAGGCGGCCAGGCCTGGGGGACAAGAAAACAGCGGGTGGCGGCCAGGACACCGCATCCTCACTTGGCCACCCACCGGCACCCAGGGCCCCCTCTTCCCGGCTCGTCATCCAGTCCCTAGCCAAGTTCCACTCCACGTCCAACAAGCAAAATGCCCAAAGGAAGCGATAACAAGGCCCACCAACGTGCCCTGTGCTGGCCAGAGAGCTCACCGATGTTCTCTGGGTTGAACGCAGCAACTACCAACAGGAGGGGCCAGGCCTTCCAGTAGAGTGTGGAGATGGCGAGGTTGGGAGGCTGGTACCTGCAACGCAAGGGCATGGGCTCGGCCACACTAGGTCAGTGACAAGAATCGGTCAGGCCAGGTTGGCATCGGCACAGCTCAGTGACCGACGACCTGTGAGACGGGCAGGGACGCCAGGGCCACAGGCGGTGGCTGCGGAAGGCAAGCTCAGAGCAGGAGTGGAGGAAGCCCAGGGCCACAGGCAGGGGCTCCGGGCGCCTTACCCGGGGGGCAGCTGGATGTTCTCCGGGTGGTGGTAGGTGCACAGGTTCAGTACAGCGTCGAGCAGCTGGACCCTCTCCACCTTCAGCACTTCCACATCTGCAATGCACGGTCCAGAGCCCGCTCAGTGGACACCCAGGCACAGGACTCTCCGGCCAGGGGACCCGAGAGCGAGGACAGGACTGACCCCACACTGGACAGGAGGTGGAAGGGCGCTAGCACACCCCAGGGAGGCGGCGGGAGTGGCTGCTGGGCGGGTCTGGGGACAGTGAAGCAAGTCCCACCAGGTGGTGTCTGAGTGGTCGGTGGAGGGGGTAAGGACTGCGGGAGATTGCACAGCGGGCACGGGGAGGGGGGGCAGACCTGAGGGGAGCCCAGGACATGCCCCCAGGACACGCACCGTCCGCCTGTACAGCTGCCGCCCGCTTCACCAGGTGGTCGGCCAGTTCCATGGCGTCCGCAGGGCCAAGCGGGAGCTCACGGGACAGCCCGATGACCAGGATGCGCATCAGCGTGTCCTCCAGGATGGGCACCTCGGAGCACAGGCGCAGGAAGAAGCTGTGGGCGGGCCAGGGGGTGCTCAGCGAGGCCAGCCCACAGATCTCTGCACCGAGTGCCACCAGCCAGAGGGGCCACCACCCTCTCCCGGGGTCACTTGTCCCAGATGCCTCTGTGGACAAGGACCAACCACCCTAAGGAGGAACATGAAAAGGTGCCTCGTCCTTGGGGGCTCAGAGCCGGGGCAGACGGGCCAGTCCCGACTCCCACACTGCCAGAGTGACGGGAGAGGAGCGTGAGATGAGCAAGCTGACCTGAGCAGCAAAGCCCAAAGGTGGACGTGCAGAGCAGGGTGACCTGAGCAGCAAAGCCCAAAGGTGGACGTGCAGAGCAGGGTGGCCTGGGCAGCAAGGCCCAAAGGTGGACATGCGGGGCAGGGTGGCCTGGGCTCGGGGAGGCAGAGCCATGACACTGGCCAAGGCAGGGAGGCCGTGGGTGCAGCTGTTTAGAAGCAGGGAAAGAACGGGGGTTGGGGAGTCCCAGGGGCGTCGAGCTGGGAAGTCCTGCTCGCTGGGAGCTCAGGTGACACTCGGGTGCCGGCGGCAGTGGACAGGACAGTGTGGGTGCTTCCTGGAGCAGACCCCGCCCCGCCCCGCCGCACACCCAGGGGCTCACTTGCGGTCACTCTCAGGCGGCCAGTTGTCCCACTTGTAGTAGGTCTCCGGCTGCTCTGTGAAGAGCACCTTGTGGAGGCTGTGGGGAGGCGAACGGGCCGTCGGGTGGCTGCCCCGCCCCCACCCTGCCTGCCAGCACCACAGCAGCCGGGTCTCCCACGGGCTCCAAAGGTGCGTGCTCAGAGCACGACTACTTCCCGAGGCTGGCAATACCCCCACGGCACCCCCTTGAGAGCCTCTAGCAAACCCCTGACAAGGCCTGTGGGGCTGGCAGTGATGGGGGGTTCACAAAGCCCCCACTCCAGGCAGACGGGCCCTCCCACCCCATCTGGGGAAGGGCTGCCCGAGCCTGGCAGCACGCAGAATGACCCCAACGGTGGCACAAAGGATGACCGCTGTCCACGGCTCCTCAGAGGCTGGTGCCAGCCTGTGGCCATGTCCAAGGGGACAGGCTCCTGCACGACCAGCCCTGGGCGTGTCCCTAGTCAGCCCAGGGAAGTGCTGCCGCCCCTCCCCAGCGCCACCTGAGCAGAAGGATGCTGGGCCGTACCAGTGCACGTAGTCCTTGGGAGCCAGCTTGCTGATGGAGGGGACGACGGTGTGCAGCCACCAGACGGCGTCGCGCTGGATGGCGGCGATCTGGTTCTGGAAGGAGCGCAGCGCCTCCAGGTCTGAAAGGGACACGCAGGGCGTTGCTGGCGAGCCTGCAGGCAGCTCCAGACAGCAGGTGCCTCGGGGCCAGTTCGAGGCCAGCAGCATGAGCACCACTGCGCCCTCCTCTCTGACCTGCACCCCAAGTCGTCAAACCTGGTCCAATCCTTACTCTTCTTTTCTCCTTTGTCCCAGGCGACGCCAGCCTCCTTCACCTGGGCGGTGATGCCCAGCATCATGGCCACGGCCAGCACGTCTGTGATGTGCACCACGAACCGCTCCTGCAAGCACAGCCCCGCAGAGCCTGTCTGCCCCAGAGGCCTCGCCCAGCCCCCCACACAGGCCGCAGGACAGGATGCCAGGTACAGGTGGCACCCAAGGACCCCATGCCAGAAGAGAGACAGACAGGAGGAGGTCTGGGGACCAAAAGCCTGCTGGCAGCAAGGCCAAGTCAGGCCACAGGAAGGAGGTCACAGGAAGGAGGTTCAGCCAACAGAGCTGGACAAAGCGCTCCCTGGAGAAGCAGGCCACCGCACGGGGCCATACACCAACTGCCTGCGTGGCACTTGACAACCTCCACACTCTGCCCACTCTTGCTTTTTAGTATCATCACTCTCCACCCCACCCCCCTCTAAAACCTACCCAGAGCAGAATCCTGGTCTGTGCAGTCTACATCACGTTGATTCCCTGCTCACTGTCCCCTGGGCTCCCCTGGCCCCACCAGCTACCATTCTGTCCCCACCTCCACACCCACCCAGAGGCTGCTGACTCCCTGGGGGCACTTGGCCAGCACCTCCCTGGTTCGCTCAAAGGATGAAGCCCATGCTGCCCTCTGGGACTGGCGGCTACCCATGTGGGCACCAACCACAGCCCAGCACACTTCCTGTGGCAAGAGGCAGGCAGCATGAGCAGTGAGAGCCGCGGGCTGGAGACACGCACCCTGAACTCCATGTCCAGGTACTGGGGCTCCTTGCGCTCCTGCATGAGCCCGAGGCAGAAGGCCTGGAAGTCGATCTCGTGTTTGGTCTGCTTGATGATCTCCCGCAGCAGGGCCCGAGAGGCCCGCAGGTAGTCGTCCTTGTTGGTCAGCAGGTCCTGGAACACCATGGCCAGGAACTGGGGTGGAGAGAGACCGTGCAGGGAAGGGAGCTCACCACCAGCTCCGGCCCCGGCACAGGCCTACCATCAGGGCCTGGGTAGGCCCTGCAAGAAGCCTTCCCAGAGCCCTCCCAGCCTTGCCTGTCTCCTGACACACAACTGGGCACACCAGCACAAGCACGCCCGGCGCAGGTCTGACCGACCCATTCATCCCCTGACAACGGTGCGGGCCGCACTCCATCTATTCAGCTCTCCTGGCAGCTGGCTGGTGGGGACTAGTCCTTGTTAAATGAGGCAACAGGCTAACGGACAGACACTGCCTGCAGAACTCCCAAGCCTGGGGACAAGCACGCTGACCCAGGCCCAGCACACCCCAACCTCCAAGCAGACAACAGGGCACCGCCTTCCCTTACACACAGGCCACAGGGTGACAGATGGCGGCCATGAGCACTGGTGCTGTGTCGACCCTGCGTTTCACACACACCTATGCCATTGAAAAACCTAACTTTAATTGATGACCAGTGCTGTTCTCAGATCTCCTCAGAAGCACTGAACAAAGCAGACTCACTACCAGGCCAAGGCCAGTGCCAGGGCTCAGCTTCTCCGTGGCAATCAGGGACCCTGTGCAGCTAGCTGAGTGCAAGTCAAGCTCAAGTGTTTCGAGTGCACAGGGCACAGCCCACCACCCTCCCTGAGGTGCTCTCCCGCACAGCTCAGCACACCGCCAACTTCCTCTACCCGCCCAGCATCAACGTGAGGCACGCTCCTCTCCAAGCCCGGCCCGGTGGGGGTGCCCCAGAATGAGGCACAGCTGAGCCCAGGGCACGCCCACAGAACCCAGGCCCCCGACCCGACCTTGGGTGCCAGCTCCGAGCTGTGCTGCAGCACCGTGTAGAGGATCTGCATGTTGTTCGGGTTCCGGGCGTTGGACAGCTCGTTGAAAATCACGAACTTGATGGTGGTGCCCAGGTTGTCCTTGTGCGCATTCAACAGCTCCCTGGACACGAGGCAAGCAAACGGGGCGCTGGCACAGGTGGGTCACCCCAGGCCCCCCTCTGCCCCCGCACTCCTGCTGGGCCGCACCTGATGCAGAGCATGTAGTGGTTGAGGAGCACTTTGGGCTTGAGGCGGATCTTGATCAGGTGGGAGATGACGTCCATGTCCTCAGCGCCGTGCGTGTTGCAGTTCATGCACACGGACATGAGCAGGTCCTGGGCCGGCCGGGTCAGCTGCAGGAAGCCGAATTCACGCCGTCAACCCCACGACCTCAGTGACAGGTGGGCCCAGGAGGATGACCCTAGACCCTATATGCCGCCCTCACCTTAGGGTTCTGCAGCCACATCTCTAGCTTCTGCACCGTCATCAGCCGCACTTCCTTGTACCCACAGGTGGAGGTGAGGAGCCGCAGGAGGTTCCTCGAGACGCTGTCGATGGGCTGGCGCCTGTTGAGCTGGTCCCGCAGCATATCCAGAACGTACTCCTCCACGCTCTCCGTGAGGTCCTCATACCTAGACCGGAGGGGAGAGGAGAGAAGAAAGGAGGAAGAAAGGCTCTCCTCCCAAACCCTCCCGCTGCCTCAGCCACACACAGGGCCTCACCAGCTGGGGCTGGGCCGCACGCCTACCTGGGCATGAGCTGCCCTTCCTGCTCGGGGCTCAGCTTCTCCTCGGCAATCAGGAGCTCTGTCTGGCTGTCCTCCTCCTCAGTGAGGGAGGGGTGAGGGCTGCTCCCTGCAGGTCAGGGCCTCATGCACATGTTCCCACCGATCCCACAAGCACCTGCTCCCCTAATGCTGTGCTCCCTGGAGGGAGGTGACCCCAGCCTTCCCCCTACATTGAAAACCCCCGCTCCACCCTCTCCGAGAGCCAGCTTCTCACCAGCACTGAGGTCCCCTCCGCTGCGCCCTGCCTCGCCCTGCAGGAGCATGCTCTTAGGAGGCATCCTGGTGTTAAACGCCGTCTGGATGTTGTCCACGAACGCTCTGCAGTGCGGGCTGTCCACCCAGATCCGCTCCCCCAGGGAGTCTTCGATATACACCTGCCGGGACAGAGGCTGACATCCAGGCCGCCTGCCTGTGTTGCATGGCGCTGGGAAAAAGCTAGACAAGTGCTTCCCCAAGCCTGCCAGCTGCCCAGAGCGAGCTCCCAGGAAGACCTCAGCGGCTGTGCAGAAGACAGGATGCCCAGGGCCATCAGACAGCCACCTGCTGAGGGGCGTGCTGCTCGCTGCTCTCTTCGCCCAGGGCCCAGTCATGCCCCCTCTCGTGGCGCTCTGCTCCCTTTACCCCAAAGCAGTGTGCTCACCAAGCCCCCGGGGAGGCGACTCACCTTGACAAAGATCTCGGGCCAGTTCTCGTCCTCCTCATACGCAGCCATGAGGAGGTTGCAAGCCAGCACAGACACCAAGCTGTTCCCCTTGGCCTTGTAGTTGATGGAGGCGTCCCGCCGCAGAAGGCTGCAAAGGGCCTAAAAGAGACGGCACACGCCGCCAAGTGAGCCTTGCCATGCGCCTGGGGTTGAGCCAGTGTGCTCGCGAGGAGCGGGGAACGGGCAATGGGCAACGGGCAACGAGCCTGGGAGGGAGAAGCGGCACAGGCCCAAGAGCCCGTCTCCCTCCTCCCAGCCCTCACCTCGATGACACCTTCTGTGGCGAAGATGTTGGGCTTGATCTTAGCCAGGTACATGAGGCTCAGGTAAAGGGTGCTGTCGGGCTTGGCCCTCGTGACCTTCAGCTGCTTCACAGCCCCACACAGCACTCCCTCGATCCTGTCGTCGTTGCCCTCCAGCTCGGCAGCCTCGATCTCGTCCAGCAGCGCTGGGGGAGGAACTGCAGTGCAGGCGGCGTCAGAGCAGCCAGCCAGAGGCTGCCCATCTGGTACCCCCGAAGCCATGAGACACAGAACACACATCAGAAATCCCCCAAGCAAGGGTTTCAGGCCATGACCCAGTTGGCCGACTCTTAAGAACAGCGGTACCAGCCAAGGTGGGAGCAGGGCGGGTGTCCCAAGACTTGAGAAAAAATAAGAGTGACAGCCATGCATAGACACAGCGCCCTGTGGCCTTAGGTGCTGAACCAGCTACCTCCTGACCCCTCACTGTGTCCCACATGGTTACCCTAGGCTTATCCCACAATACATTTAGTTGTTGACAAGTCGGTCAATTTGATCTAAACTTTCAAATTAGTTGATACAATGCCACTCAGAGCCTTACATTTTTTTGTAGTGACACCGCTCCTTCGGCGGTCTTTCTGCAGACTGTTCACCCCCACGCCCCCGTGTGGGCTCCTGTCTGTGGACTTTGCAAAGAGCCCCTGTCCTGACCCTCCCGTGCTGCTCCCTCTGCTCTCGTCCTGAGCCTTTCCTTCTTTCCACCCCGTCGGGCCTCATCCAGTTGTCAGCTGCACACTAAGCGCATCAACGGCCCCACACTGGCCTCTGCCGCTCCACAGCCCTCCTCACAAGTCCTTCAGCTCTGTCCCAAGTCCTCTGCGCTGCAGGTACACTGTTCATGCTGGGTATTTCCTCATCTGCTGTGCCTTCTTTGACCAAAAGTTTTTTTAAAATTGTGCTTTCCAATATGCAAACATATGAAGGAAAGTGTTGTTACCAATTTCTAACCTAACTGCACCCATAGTTACAGACCACTTTCTAGGTGCCAGGTCAGGTGGCCAGTGGACAAAGGAAGGAGCTGTCCCGGCCTCCAGGATGACACTGGCTCTCAGCAGGCCCTCCGGAGGAAAGACCACGGACAACAAAGCAGCCAGATCTGTAGAGCACGTTCCAGTGATCCAGCCATGGGCTGGCTCTGCCTGGTAGGAGCCAGCCTCACAGACCCGGCCACAGAGGCCCGATGAATGACGTGCCGGTGTCCACATCTGCTCCCGCCACGTGGCCGCAGCACCTTAGGGCCCAGTTCTGGTCGAATTCCTCACCCCGTCCCAGAAAAGCACAAGCGCAGTGAAGGCCCCTGCCCTCCGTTCCCCAAGAACGTGCTGCACCCGCGGCCCTCAGCCTTGAGTGGCCTCTGTGGACCCCGGTGGAAGGACCGGATGGGGGGATACGTTCTCGGGACAAGTCCAGAGACCAACTTTACCTTCAATAGGGACCACAGACGGCTCTTTAATAGATGGAGAGATAGCGCGTTTTTCTGCCACCGCAGCCTCAGCCAGGCGCCCCAGAGCACTCAGAGGGGGCGTGGCGGGCAGTTTGGGGCGTTTGGTAAGGCTGGGCAGGGCCGAGGCTCCAGCCAGGGCAGCAGCCGCAGCATCCCTCTTGCGCTCGGAAGGCAGGCCGGAGGGCGCAGGCTTCAGCAGGGCAGACGAGGTCTTCGAGTCACTGGCCTGACCCTTTGAGCCCAGAGCAATGAAGTCTCCAGGTGGAGGGTGCCCTGCGGGGGGAGGGAGGTGGAGAAAGGCGCACCTTCACACAGTGGCGGCGGAGGTGGGAAAACGTGGGGACAGGCTCCAACCTCTCGCTACCTCCCAGGGGGCTCCACCAGGGTCAGGGTGGCAAGAAAGAAGCCACCGCGAGATCCCCAGCCGATGCTAACAGTCACGGCGCTAACTGCCCGCCGCGCCGCGTCGGAGACGGGCAGGGCCACGCTCACTCTGCAGATGAGGACGACCAAGCGGGGGGCCCAGCAACGTGCCCGCGGCCGCACAGCTGGCGAGCGCGAGGCCTCGGTGCAGACGGAGCAGGACACGCTGCCTCCCGGCGGCCCCCTCTCCCGGGCCCGCAGAGCCGCCCGCGCCGGCGGGGAGGGGCGCGCACCTGAAGTCTTGGCCGCAGCGCTGGGCCTGCGCACGGCGGGGGCCTTGGCGCGGTTCATGGCGCCCCCCGCCCGTCGCCGCTCCGCGCCGCAGCGCCGTCACCCGCAGAAGGCCAGCGCCAGGCGTCGCTCACCGCCCGCTCATTCATTCGCTGCCCGGCCGCAGGGGCCTCGGGCCGGGGCGAACGGGCGCCGCCGGGCGGAGCGAGTCCGAAGGGGCCGCGCGAGCGCCGCCTCAGCACCACCGGGAGGCGCGGAGTCGCCGGCAACCCCGACTCCCGCACCAGCAGCCCGCGACATCGAGCGCTCCGCCGCCGCCAAGGCTACCCCGGAACCGGAAGTCGACTTCAGCGGCCCAACTTCCGGGGAAACCGGAAGCAAAACAGCGCGGCGGGGGGAGCGTAGGGCGGACGGGGAGGCTAGAGCGGCCGCGGCTCCCGGGCTATGTCTGCAGCGCCCCCTGGCGGCGGGATGCCGGAGGTGCGTCGCAGCCTCTGACCTCTGAGCTGAAAGGTGGGCGCTGTCACCCTCTCTGCGCATTGTTTAGTGGCATGCTCACGGATACACGGCTGCAGGGGGTGGCATCGGGGTTCTCATCTACACGTGCTGGGCCGTCAGAGTCCTGCTCTCCTGTTTATGAGTCAAAGGGCAGGTTCTGGGGTCCCCATGATGGGAGGCAGGAGGGAGCCCAGGGGCACAGCGCAGAAGAGCCGGAGGGACCTGCCAAGGCCAGCCCGTCCTGCCCTCCTTTTCGGGGAGCAGGGTCACGCAGTACCCGGGCCTCTGGCTGTAGCCCACCTCCCCACCAGGAGTAGAGAACCAGGAGCAACAGCCTGGCCTGCAGCCCTGGCCCCTGCCCCAGGACCCCCGCTGGAGGAAGCCCGGAGGGTCCCTAGGAGCTGCCACCCCGACTGACAGGAGAGGGATTCGGTAGAGACCCGGCTCGTTCCTCACAGCCGGGGTGCTGCGGAGGGCGGCCGGCACAGGTGAGTCAGGCCGGGCGGGTTAGCTTCACTCAGTAACTACCGCGGGGAAGCTGAGCTCCAGAGGTGAAGGGGTAGGCCCGGGTGAGGGCACAGAGGGTGGGCAGTGCAGGTGCGTGCTCACGGCCAGGTGTCCAGCGTCTGCATGGGTCAGGACAGCTGTGGGGCGTCCGGAAGCTGCCCCGAAGGCCCAAACCGACCCTTCGGGCGGTGATGGAAGGAAGGCGCCGTTTCCGGACCAGCGTGTGGAAGTGGCCGCATCTATCCAGACATAGATGAAGTCTGGAAGTACACCCACGTGGCCCCCGTGGCTACTGGGCAGGGAGGGCCTTCAAACCGTCGGCTTGTTTAGTGTTGCAGTTGTGGGGATTGTTTCCCGGAGAACAAGAGGAGTGCCCTCGCCCGCTGGGCTGTCACAGCACCTCCCTGCCCAGGCCAGAGGCCACGGGTCAGGTGGACACATCTTTCCCTCGTGGGGTTCTGGGGCGGGAGCGGCCCCGGGCTCCGATCACATGAGAAGCTTTGGAGGGCTGTGCTCCCTGAGGCTGCCCGTCACCCGAGTCAGCGTCCGCAGGAAGGAGGAAAGGCAGTGGGGGCCTCCTCAGCTGCTGATGATGCGGGACCCAGGGCTTCCTGCCAACGCAGGTGTCTGTTCCTGAAACACACCCCACCCCCCAGGCGGCCTAAACAACAGACTCTCATTCTCTCGCTGTCTCGCAACAGACTCGGGGAGGGTCCCTGCTGCTCCTCCAGCTCCGAGGCTCAAGGCGCCCTGGGCTCGAGGCTGCACCTTCCATCTCACTCCCTTATCACACCCTTCTGTGCGTCTGTGTCCCCTCTGTGCGTCTGTGTCCCCTCTGTGTCTGTGTGTCCCCTCTGTGCGTCTGTGTCCCCTCTGTGCGTCTGTGTCCCCTCTGTGTCTGTGTGAACCCTCTGTGTGTCTCTGTCCCCTCTGTGCGTCTCTGTCCCTTCTGTGTGTCTGTGTCCCCTCTGTGTCTGTGTGTCCCTTCTGTGCGTCTGTGTCCCCTCTGTGTGTCTCTGTCCCCTCTGTGTCTGTGTGTCCCCTCTGTGTGTCTCTGTGTCCCCGTGTCCCCTCTGTGTGTCTGTGTCTCCTCCTGTCTCTTGCAAGGACACTCATTGGATTTAGACCTATCCTAAGCCGGGATGGCCTCATCTCAAGATCCTTACCTGCTTTATATCCAAAGACTCTGTTTCTAAATAAGGTCCATTTTGCATGTCTGGGTGGGCACTGCAGCTCCACGCCGAGGACCAGGCCTGCGTGACCAGGCTCTCCCACTGGCTGTCCTGTCACTGTTCCTGGACACGCCTGGCTCGTCTCAGGACCTCTACTCAGACTGTTCCTGTGTCAGGACCCCCTGGCTGTCATGGACCCTTCCCCCACTGGGTCTTTGCTCAGTGTGGCCTTCTTCCCTCACCCCCAAAACCACAGCCCCAGCCCCCACTGGGCCTGGCTGGCACCTTAACATCGCCCTTTACAAAACCGTCACCCCTGGCCGGGCCTGTGTGGCTCAGTGGACTGAGCGTCATCCCATGAAATGAGAGGTCCCGGTTCAATTCCTGGTCAGGGCACATGCCCGGGTTGCAGGCTCCAACCCTAGTAGGGGGTGTGCAGGAGGCAGCCAATTGATGTTTCTCCCTCACATTGATGTTTCTATCTCTCTCTTCCTTTCTAAGAAATCGGTAAACACATACTTTAAAAAAAAAAAAAGCCCTGGCCGGTTTGGCTCAGCAGTTAGAGCGTCGGCCCGCGGACCAACGAGTCACGGGTTCGATTCTGATCAAGGGCACATACCTCAGTTGCGGTTCATCCCTGGCCCTGGTTGGGTCGTGCGGGAGGCAACCAGTCAATGTGGCTCTATCACATCGATGTTTCTTTCTGTCTCTCTCTCTTTCTTCCTCCCACTCTATCTGATAATAAGTAGAAAAATGTACTCAGGTGAGAAGTAAAAAATAAATAAGTAAATAAATAAACAAAAAAGAACACCGTCACCCCTGGATGCTGGCACCCACTACCTGTCTCTCTGTGTGGCCTCCCTCCCTTCCCTGTGTGAGGCACCAGCAGCACCTGGTGGGCCCAGCTTCTGCCGGATCCAGGGGGCGCACCCACGGCTGAAATGGGGGCAGACAGGTGAAGGACCCTCACAGAAGCCATAGTTATGAGCGGGACTCAGCCTGGAAGGATGTGATGGGTGGGGCAAGCCCAGGCCTCTGACCCCACAGTCCTCTGCCATCTCTGCCACCACCCTGGAGCCAGGTGACCCTGACCCCGGACCCTGACCTAGCGTGGTGGGCACGCCCCTCCACTGGGCCCACTGTGGCTCCGCTGAGGGAAGGGGGGTCCCTGCAGTGGAGAGCAGGCTGGGCGGCCAGTAGGGTGGGGACAGAGTGTGCAGCGACCTGCCCCAGCCCCGAGGGCAGAGGGGAGGAGGGTCTGCCTGCAGCTGCTGTGGTCCAACCGCCTCGGGGCCAGGAAGCAGCTGGTCCCACGGCACAGCCTGGGTCCCAGAGCCGGGCTGGCCTGGGCAGTATCTCCCTGGGCACAGCCTGGCACCTCCCAGCTCTCAGGGTGGGGCTGGGTGTAAGATGAGGTACTCCGGGAGCGACCACAGGGCGCCCGGGGGGCTGGTCATCTCTCAGCCACCTTGTCCTCTAAATTTAGAACCTGCTTCACCCAGGCTGGAAGCCCCATCAGCCGGGTGACAGTTTCAGAGCTGTGAGTCAGCAGTTATTACCCGGCTGCCCCTTCCTGGGGGGCCCCGGAGACCCGCTGTGCTCAGGGTGGAGGGTTTCCTGTGCCGTGAGCGGTCCTGGGCCGGCACCGCTGGGTCGGCCCCGGGAGGCCCCGCGAGGCGCGCAGGAGGCACGGGGCCTTCTGGAGCCGGACCCGGAAGGCTGGCGCCCCGGGAGCCCCCACCAGCTCAGGGCTGACATCTGAGCCAGTGCTGGGCAGACCCTGGCGGGTGAGCGGAAGCCCCAGCCAGGCCGCCTCTGGCCGGAGGTGGAGCTCTTTCCAACTATTGTCCGAAAATAGAGCGGGCAGCTCACAGGAAACCAGTCCCCTGTCCGGGAGGGGTGTCCGAGGTCTCTGAGCCCTCCAGCTCCTCGCCCCAAGGCGTCCTAAGCCTCTGAGGGCAGAGGTCAAAGGTCAGAGGTCAAAGGCAGGGCTGGGGCACACCTGTCTCCCAGCTGTCCTGCCGGCGGGAAAAGCTGGTTCCGACGGGGACTCCTCCCAGGCCGGGGTGTGCCCGGTGGGGGGACACACGACACTGCGATTCCATGACCTTCCAGCTGGGGCACCCCCGCCTCAGTTTCCCTTTCTGTCAGGTAGGGTCAGGCCAGCAGCATTCCAAAGCCTAGCACACTCTGAGGCCGCAGGGTTCAGCGGCCCCCGCACCCCCGCGCCCACGCTGACTCGGCTGTGGTTCCCATGCCTTTGAACGAATGCTCTTGCCAACCACAAAGAGCAGGGCACAGAGAAGCTGGGCATCCCCAGACTGGGGGGCCTTGACCGCTCTGCCCAGCCCACCTCCATGGGACCCCAGGGTTCCGGGGAATGCAGGTTGAGAACCAGGGCAAGGCAGGCCATACACTGACGAGTACGGAACCCTGAACCCAACTGCCCAGTCCCAGCCAGCACCCCCCAAATTCCATGTGTTCCCTCCAATGGCTGAGGCTGAGGAAGGGTACAGACTTGATTTCGGTGACCTGGGGAAGCCCCCGGGGAGAACCCTGTGGCCAGAAAGCTGTGTGGGGCAAGGAGGGCGGAGGTCAAAGGCTGGGGGTCACGGCCAACATCAGTGTGACTGAAAGAGGGCTGGGTGGGGAGGGTCTCTGGGTCAGGAGGCCGGGGACCCCAGCCCTCCTTCCGCTGGCGTCCCTCCTCCCATCCTCAGGCTGGGGGCTAGGCGGGGCGGCACTGGGACAGTGACCAGGACAGTCCTGTTTCACCTCTGTCCCACTGTCCCTACACGCCATCCAGATGTCCCCAGCGCTCTTGGGTGGGGGGCCACAGGGATTCTGTTTCCTCGTGGGACTTGTTCAAGCTTCCCGCAAAGGGGACCT